ATTCCACTTCATGAATGTAAAGTCAATCGATCATTATTATTTGTAAAGTATGTTTAAAGAGTGTTTTTAGGAATAAGATAATGTCCATATTGTTGTATTAACCAAAGTGAATGTATAGTACTCTTGCTCCCTCTTCTAGGACTCATGCCATTCCAACACTAATGCTCTGGGACAAATGTTGCACTCTGCCGCCCTCTAGTGGCTCATGTTGGTGTTTACAAGACAAATAGCTCACCCCTTTACAGACAATGGCTCAGAACTAACCAAGATACAGTAAAAGGCTATTCAAATTCATAGCGATGAAACATTACATGAAGTCCATACTTTAGGTCTAAAAGTACATTTAAAAGAAAAAATGAATAAATAAAAATACAATACAATGGTGTACATTATTTTCCGGGCCACAGCTTCCTGTTTAATGCTCAGGTCGTTGGCCCATTCCCAAATTCAAGCCCGAGGCCTAAGCACTAAACCCGTATTGACCTAATTGACGTCCGGAGTGAAGTGCTTGAGTGTGTGAATCTGTGGCCTGATCCCAACCTCCACACACTCTCTCTCACACACACACACTTACACGCACAGACTGTGTGTTGTTCATTGAGATATAGTGGTGAGGGGAGTAGGTTGTCCAGTCACCCTATGAGATGTAAATCAAGAAAAATGCAAATATATCTATCTGTAAGTAAGTCCCTGTTGTGGTAGTTATGGCACACTTATTGACTAGTTTTTTATTTTTAGCAAAATAATCTGCTTTATTCACAATCATTGCTGTCCTGGCTTTGTTAGTTTGTGGAAATATATAAACACTAGTTAAAAAAAACCATTTAAACAAAATGGGTGTGTGGCTTTCTTTCTTTTTATGTCATGGTGAAGCTGGTTTCCAGATAACATGTGATTCAGTTAGAACGTGTCCAGCTCCTAATTTTACTCCATCAGCCATCATAGACTGAAACATTTACACCTGCACTCGTGACATCAGAAAAGTCTCTGAGGGTTTTCTGCTCGGGCTTCAGGGTGGAGGGATTGGGCGTGAAAAAAAAAAGTTGGAATGGGACACATCAATGTGACATCACATGTTGTTTTGAGAAAGAAAGATAGACAGATATAAATCCAAATCTTATATGGACATCCAGTGTTAATGCATGTGTGTAAGCAAACCATACACAGTCAGGAGAGTGATGTTTGAATTGTTGGACTGAATCAGAAATAAAGTTCAAAAGTGCATCTGGTAACAACAGTAAGAGTCCCTCTCGGGAGATACTTTTCCTCATAGAAAACCTAAAATAAGGTGGTAATTATGCCAACTAATTAATACTAAATCATTCTAGACTTTCACTGGGGCCAAGACTTCATGGACATGTCTTTCAGTATAAGAACTCCTCACTCCACAGTCCTCCACACAAACCCCCCCAGAACTAAAATCCACACCATGGGAGGCCGGGCCTTCTGCTCCACTGCTTGCAGTCTGTGGAGTGCTCTCCCTGACCACCTGAGGGCACCACAGTCTGCGGACGCTTTTAAAAGGGCCCTTAAAACCAAAACCCACCTCTTTAACAGAGCCTTTTGCTAGTGTTTTTTAGTTCTCAGCTGTTTTTATGAACCATGGTTTTTTATTGATGTAATTGGGCTTTTTTCCAACTCTGTAGCACTTGCCAAAAATGTAAAGTGTGTTATAAATAAAATGTATTATTATTATTACTATTAACCAAACAGCAAGACACTTTTCTGTTGGATATGTGCATGAATGTTTATGTTACGTCAAAAGGCACCAGAAAAATAACCACAGCTGTGAGATTAAATGCAGTTAAGCATCACTCTAAGCCTTGTGGTGAAAATGTACACAATGGGTTTGATAAAGGTTTAGCCTTACCGTAAAGTTATTCTGCTTTTCTGTACCAAAAAAATCAGGTCCAAAGTTTTTTTGGTAACAATCTGTAAACATGTTTAATGATGTTGTAAAGTTGGACATTTTAACATAGAGCTCTATGGGCATTGACTCGCTTTTGGAGACAGCCTCTAGTGGCCATTCAGAAACGTGCAGGTTTAGGCACCTCTTCTTTTGAACCAGAGGTGACTGCTCTGTTGGCATAGCAATCAGCTTGAAATTAATCTGCATTATGAGATGAATGAAAACTGTTTCATAGGCTCCATATGGTCATATGGTCCCCGGTGGATTAACCCAGCCACTAATCCTAACTCCTGACCAGTATTGTGTTCACAGTCTGTGTGTTACGGACAGCAGAGAAGTTTGGGGAATGTTGTAAAATCAGAAGACACCTCTGATTGTATCTCTCCTCTGTTGATCAGGAAATCCCATAATCTGTTGGGATGTTTCCAGAGGTCATCGTAGAGGTCATCATCGTAGGGACACTTTGATTTTAAGACAACAGAAGTCACCAGTTGAACGCGGTGTACACTGAATAAACTGAAAACATGCAGATCACAGACTCGGCTGCCTCTTGAACTAACGGAAGTCAGAGAGACAGGGGTGAGGAGATCTGCCTGAACTTGTCCACCATTATCAAGATCACAGCAGAGCCATGAGACAGTCAGTGGAAATGAGAGACTCTGGTTTCTTGGGAATGGGTGGAGAGTGTAGGTGGAGGACTGCTGAGAAAAAGTAGGCCAGGCAGCATATAATGTCTGGGTGTCTTTTTCAACAGAGGCCCTGTGCATTCTGTTCAAACACGGAGGAACAGTCAGTTTTAAAGCCTATGAAGCAGACTGAGACTCGTCATACACCTCTTCAACGACAACAAATAAACATCAAGAGAAAGCAGGGTTCAAATGCACACATATGTACCGCTATACAGCTATAATTCTGTAAAAAAAAAAAAATCATAAGTAGGCCTACATCTGAGTCTGTGTAAATGTAGAAGGTAAAATTCAGGGAAATTCACGATGAAAGAGGGAGCGGGGTCGATGGCGTTTAATTTACACAACCAGCGTGCCACCGTCGCTATCTTCTAATATGTAAGGAAGCTGCTTCATACTCTGTTCTGCTAGCGTGTAGTTTCTTTGCTACTCGTTCCAGTCAATGAACCCAACTATACATAGCATTGAAATAAAGGCAACGGTCATCATAGCTCCTCCATCTTTGATTCGACATTATGAACAGGAAGAACGACTACAACAAGCAGTACCTGGGATTCTAGCACAATGCCTCTGCATAGATCTCCATTCATGATCTTACTACACAAAGTGACTGTGATGAGCCATAACAAAGCTATTTGGGACCAAACCATGCTTGATTACATCAACTGTGATGATGGCATCCTTTGTCTCTCAACATGTTCACAGAAAACCTCTGGAAGTAAAAAAAGCTCCTTATATTTGTGCACAACAGGGAGCATGTGGTACACAGAGAGAAGTGCAAAGTATCCATGAAAATATTCTGATTTTAGAGGCTGAAGAAGAGTGAACGAGAAGCAGTAATGCTCTTATAAGAGATCCCCCAAATGTTTGTGTACAAGCTATTTAAAGTGTGCAGAGAAGGTGACAGGGTTAATATAAAAGCTACTGATCAAGTTTTTCTTATTTGTTCACATCATTTGCCCTCCTTCAGCCCAGCCCAGTTGTGTGTAAACCCCATAAACAAAGGGTTTAGAGGTTTATCATGGAGTGATACCTCTATGTTTTCAGTGATTTTAGAAACTTAGGAAAAACCTTTATTGCCTCCTATAGAAGCCATTTCTCCTCTCCTCTCCCTGTGTAGACTATCATTTAGAGATGATCACATAAAAGGAGAAAACAATCACAGATTTGCAGGATGAGACTTAACATCGGCCATCTTTGGAGACTTTATGCAAATTTACGCACAAATCTACGCCGGCAAAACCGGCAGTGGGTTGTGATATGTGTGGACCTGTGAACATCTCTGATGTGGCGCATCTCAGCTGCGTCAAGACCACTGTGGTCAGATAGATCAGACAGGAAGAGAAAAAAAATGGTTTTCTAAATAAAAGTAGAAAAGTTTCCACTGAACAGGCTAACTGGGGCACTGACTCATTCATCCATCCTGCCTGCTGATTTCTTCTCATAAGGGCAGTGATAAGTTAACGCATTGACCAAAGGACGTAATCATGAAATAATTTGTGTATTTTTATTGTAATATTGCTTTTGACTTTTTGCTTTTCTTTCTGAAGTAGCCTATTATCTTTTCAATTCACACATTTATAAAGATTGCTTAACTCTTTGTTCGTTTCAGTTTTGTATCGTTCGTTATCTATCTACTGGAACATATCTTCATCTTTCTTTGTATGTATTTTGGAGGAGAGAAAAGCTTCTGTGTTTATTTGCCTTTGTTTTTTTTTCTTCATACTTAAAGTATTTTCTGTCACCCTGTTCTGTGAATCGTACCTGATTTAAATAGAGGTTTGTTTCTGTAGGTCTCTTTGAAATGAGATTATTTATTAAACGTACACTCATATGAGTCAGGTAACAAAATACAATTAAACACCTGTCAGTATCATTTCAGTTTAGAAAGTTCATCTGCATCCTCTATCCAAGTGGAATAGGAACATAATTGCCTGAACCTTCTTTTTTTTTTTTTTCTGTTAGGCCTATATTAGACTTAATCTTATCCATGTTTTGTATTTGTTGAGTGAACAGCAGTCACATAATGTCAGCAACAATCCTCCTGTAGTTACCCATAAACAGAAACAACCACGGATTCTGCAAATAATGTTATTCATTCAAATATTGTGATACCTGTTTTAAATACAGACCTACACCATCACTGCCAAACACAAATCTCTGCTATATAAAAGCATATCACCTACGGTTACCTGCTGAAACGGTTGTCATTTATTCATGAAAGTTTTACTGCTGTAATCATGTCTCTCTGTCTTCAAATGTTACTATTGATGTTGCATATTGGCTGGACTTAAAATTATGTTTCATGTTTTCAGCAATTAAAATAACATACAGTAATACATACAAAAGCATTCACAAACATCCCCATCTCCCTACACTCTGAACATTAGATAGACCATAGACTTATTAAGAAACAAACTAAAACAAAAACAAAAAAACAAAAACAATTCAAGATTAAAAAAACGAATTATTATAGGTTAGTTATATAACTTAATCAATTACATTAAAACCGTTTTCATATAGGCTTAAAGATTAACAACTAATAAAAATGGAGTGTAGACATTGCCTGCCTGTATGTTTAATTATGATGTTAATGTAACCTTAATGTGAGATTCTTGTTTTTGTTTGATTCTGCTTGTCTTTTTACTTCTTCATCCACACAGAGAGAAATATATAAATATAGAGAATCAGGCACTATGTTCATTATAGTAGAATTATTAATCAAACGCGTGCTTTTACTTTGAAATCAAAGACCGGAACTCCTTTCCGTGTGCTCTCGTGCTCACTTGACGTTGGTGCGCATCTCACCGACCGGGAATACCGATTTGTGAACATCTCGGCCTGTTTCCCGCTGCACCGTGAAGCCGTGTTAATGCAGGCGGAGCGGGGAGGTGGTGGTGGCGGGGTTCATGTGACAGATCCTCGGTCAGTGTGATGACAGACGGAGATGGAGATCATCCAGGAGGAGCCGTGTTTGTTTGGTATGGCGATATGAAGCAGGGGGTGGAGAGCCGCCACAGAGACGCTGGGCTCCGGCCAAACATCACCGCATTTTAGCACCTATTCGATGCTCGGGATTTGCATTGAATTGCATTTACTGCATCGCTGATCGGCCTCTTGTTTTCTGCAAGGTGCATGGTGGAAAATGCAGCCCGTTTGAGGACACCCTCCCACCAGATATTCACTGCTGCCATGACAGGCAGAGGTCTCCTCTCGACCGCGGCTCGGCCGGCTGGGGAAGAGGCGGATTGATTCGGAACGGTGGGCTCTCATCTGCGGATGTTATTGTGTCTGTGGAGCCTGAAAACATCATCCGCGCGAACGCACCGTGAATCTTACTCAGGGAAAAAAGGCAAGAAAACAACATGTCCTCTCGATCTGCATTACCGTCTGGAAACGACAGGAGTACTGGAGACCATGTAAGTGCAATTACAGCCTATAGCCTATGTGTGTTTGTGTGCATGCAGAAGGTACATCGTGCATCCCTTATAATAAAACATCCCTCATACGTGTGTGGCCTTCTGCATCCTCCATCCATGTTCACGGTGCATGATGAGGGTGTTTATTTTTCCTCACGGGGTGAAAGGACTCTGGAGGTGATATTGGATGGATGTTTAAGCAGAACAGGCGCTGTCAAAATGGGCTAACCTTGAGTGTCTGCGCAGGGAAAGAGCTGATGGCAGGCAAACAGCCCCGGAATGAGTCCATCCGCATACGATAACACTCGGCGGATATGCGCAGAAAGCCCTGAAAACCAGCCGTCACCTCTGATTATAAGGGCTGTGGAGAGATAGTGATGTCACATTATGCTCCCTGCTGCTGCTGCTGCTGCTGCCGCCGCTGCCGCCTGTGTAAATGTGCATGTTTGTGTGCGTGCATTCCACTCACAATTGCATGGGTGGGACGCGCGCAAGGAAGGCCAAAATAAATGTATAGAGAATATCTGGGTTGTCGGTATGAAACGAGGGGGGATTACTGCGTAAAATGATGTGCAGTCCGTTGCTGCGCAGCCTACAAAGCGCCCAACCCCACAGCCAGTGGGTGTCAGACAGCAGCGCCATACATTCAGTACAGAGGCCTGCTGCTGTACAGAGAGGATTCATTCATGTGAGACAGACTGAGAAAAAACACATCTATCTATCGATATCTATATCTATCTATCTATCTATCTATCTATCTCTAGCTAGCTATATATCTATATCTATATCTATCTATCTACCTCTATATCTATGTCTATATCTATATCTATATCTATCTATCTATCTATCTATCTATCTATCTATCTAATTAATTATTGCACTGATTGACGTTGCATTATGTCATTTTTCTCCCCTAAACACTTCTGGCAATAGTCCCCCCCCCCCTCCCTTCCCATCTGTTTGTTAGCAGAGCTTTGAGCACAGAGGGATGGTTAAGCCAGTGCATGTGTGTGTGTTTTGTGTGTTTTGTGTGTGTGTGTGTGTGTGTGTTTAAGAGCTGCACGATTGATTATGAATGCAGATCTTCCATCAGAATGAGTCCGATTGGCTGTCATCACTCCACAATTAAGCGATGGTGACAGACGAGGTGAATTGAGCGGATGAGATGTTGTGTTGCCATGTTGGCACAGGTGAGTCCTTACAGTGTGAGTGTACTTCTCTCCCTCACTGTGGGGAGAGTCGTCTTGGAGGTGGGAGGGGGGGGGGGGTCTTAACTGTCTCTAGGTGGGGTGTGAGAACAGGGATGGAGGCATGCGACGGAGGGAGTGTCTGAAGGTGGGGCTTTATAGGCTGCGTGGTGTGTGTTTGTATGTGTGTTTGTGAGAGCAGGATGACATGCTGGGGGGATGGAAGTGTGACGCCTCGGGGCCTGAAACCGGCCAGGGACCACTGTGCCGGCATCTGCTCCCTTTTTTTTTTCTTCTTTACTCTTCCTCCTACATCTCTCTCCACTAGTCATCCCTTCTTGTGTTTTTCTGACCCTTTTTCTACCTAACATCATTGGTCCTCCATCTTCTGGTTTTCCCTTTTGTTCCCCCCTCATACCCACCATCTTTCTGTTTCCTCCTGTGCGTGTTTCTTTGGTTTTCACATGACAAGAAGCAGCTTTGGATCAGGGCTGCAATGAACTATACATGTAGTCATCAATTCATCTGCAGATCATTTAGACCAGTAATCAGGTTTCTTTTTTCTATAATGTAGTGAAGAAATGTCATAAAGATGTGTTCAAATCCATAATGCTTCTTCAAACCATTAGTTCAAAACCCAAATATTTACTCTTTCCAAAAAAATGAAAGCAGCACATTTGGAACCAGCTAATGACATTTTATCTTGAATGATCAACAATAGAAACATTGATTGTTGAAGTATTTGGTGATTCATTTGTTACCCTTGATAAATCAGTGCAGCTCTACATATACTCCTGCTTTGTTTGTAATTATCATTTTGGGGATTTTTTTCAAACAAATAGGTCAAACGTTTAGATTCCTGCTTCTATGAAGTGAGGATTTACTGTTTCTAAAGTTTGGAGGAGCAAATTGAAATTGAAATTGAAGATGTCACTGTGGGCTTTTGGATAAAGGAGGTAGTTATACACACATCAGGTAGGAGCAGGGCCGGGGAAAACCAGCAGACTGAGGAAGAAGACAGGCCTGCACACTTGGCCAAACGCCATAAAAAGTTTCAATTCATCACAAACACACTGTCTGGACCCGGGGTCTTCTTAATTATCACCTGAAGAAGACCACTGGTCCTGACGTTGTGGTTGTGAGGAATTTTGTGTTGTTTGGACAAATTTGCGGGCCTTTCTTCTTCCTCAACTGTGGGCTCTTGGAAAATGTAAGAAGCAATAAGATGAATTAAATGATTCATCGATAATCTTAAAATGATCACATTGATGGATAACACAAATGACAGTACCAGACCGGGCTTATTATTTTCATCCAGCAGCAGCACAGCAGCTGGGAAAGCTTTAATGCTCAGTCAGATTGAAGAAACAGAATCATCTTTATGCTGCTGTTATTCTGCATTAGAGATATCTTACAGCAGTCAGGTTCTTCACCTCTAAAGAACAACAATGTGGACCCAACCCAAAATGGAAACAATACGTTCAAGTGTTCTTGTGCTGGACAGCAGCTGTTAACACAGAAACGAGGGGCAGGTACACACATGTAGCTCGAGCCCAGCATCATGACTTTTTGAGTTTATAATACAAACATCTGGCGGTTGGATTATGGTGATGTGGCACTTTCTCTCATTTCACCAAAAGATTAGATATTAAGCTGGGCTGCTTGTTGTTTTGCAAGTTTACCTGTGCAGCTCAATGATAGCATAAATATTGCAAACAGTCAGGTTGAACCTTAAAACAGTTTGTTGTTGCCTAAATATCATAGACTGCACATAAGATTTCAAAAAGAGAAGAAAATGTGAAGACGCCTCAAACCTGCCTTCCTTTTAAGGACCTATTATTTATTACATTTACCTGAGTTTATGAGCTTATGGTCTCAATTAGCCCTGACTGTTATGAGGAAACTATGTGATGTGCAAAAACATTTTTCAGTATATTGATATGAATAGTGATAAATAAACAAAATGAAGAGTGCATAAAGCTGTAACTCAGTTTATTTGACTATCTGCTGTTCTTAATATTTTAAATCATACCTGTGTTTGCAACATGCAGCTCCTGAATCCAAAATAAATCCCCAAATAGTTAATTTTCCTCCACTTACCTGGCACTAAAAAACAGGCTAACTCTAGCTTCATCTGACTGCATCAAAAACCATTTGAAACCATGAACATTATCCATCCAATAGGTGCAATATACACACACTGAGGGAGAAAGCTACATTAAAGTTTTTATTTATTTATTGCGATAATGTTTGACTTCTGCGATGTTTTTATTGTGAAGGGTCATATCACGATTAATTGCACAGCCTTAGTCTCAATCTTATGTTTTAAGTCTTGTTTAGTTTAGTGTAAAGACAATGAAACCAAACAGGGTGGAAGCCAAAGGAGAGAGAAAAGTCGAGTGACTGTCACTAGTTTATTTATATGGCAGACAGTGAGGTGAGGCAAGTCCAGTCTCAAAACAACCTGACTCCGCCCACCAGGCTACTGTATATGGAGGCCTGCAACAAGACTTATACAGGATGCCCTAAAATATTGGCAAAGACTACAACATCATCCGACATTAGCCGATGAGTTCAAAGAAGGTCAACCAACCAAACACTGCAGTTCTTCCAGTGTCCACTTGAGGCTGGCTGCAAAAAAAACAATGAATCCTCCAAGCTCATTGTTTTGGTAAATTTGTATGTAGTTGATTTTCTTTCTAACTTGTATGTTTTTATTATATTAAGGCTTAGAGTTTTGCATGAACTTCAACAATTAGGGGCGTGGCTCAGTTAACTGACAGGTGGGCGTGTAGTATCTGTTTGCTGGGAGGCTTAAGGCTCACCTTATCTCCGCGGTGTGACTGAAAGTAAGCTAGAGACAGCGTTTCCAATATGGCGACTGCCATCGCTGGGCTTTGTATTGACATGGGGTGACAACACTGAGACTATGTCCATGTTTGATACCGTGAAGGTGTCAACCCATTTTATAAGTATGGTGACTACTGGCTCCAAAGAAATCCACAATGGTGCAACAAAATACGAATACTTGAGGCTGACATCATGTTGGGTTATATCCACTCTACAGTATTCAAGTCAATGCTAAAATCATGATTTTATCAAAGTTTGTTTTGATCCACATATCAAAACATACCAGATTTGATCCCTTTTAAGACTTTCATTAGACCAGACAGTATGCAGTCCTGAAGGTCTTGCACCCTCCTGCTGCTTCACTATATGATATTGGTGTTTGCACAGTTAGTGACCACTCTCCTCTCTTTAACCCCCCCCACCCTTCTTCCTTCCAGCATGTGTCACTGGGGTCCAGCCGGGCAGACAAGGCCACCAGCCAGTCCAGCCGCTCGCTGGGGGCCCGGTGCAGAAACTCCATCGCCTCCTGCTCCGACGAGCAGCCGCACATCGGCAACTACCGCCTGCTCAAGACCATCGGGAAGGGAAACTTCGCCAAGGTCAAGCTGGCCCGCCACGTCCTGACGGGCAAGGAGGTGAGACGTAGGGCAGCAGAATTCCAGGGGGGAGATAGGATGGTTAGGTGGTGAGGTTAAAGGAAAAGTGATATTTGAAGGGTGAGGAGAGGCAGTTCATGTTGCTGGTGTCCTGAAGATAGGACCAGCACATACTTAACAGATTTCCATCTTTTTTTAAGAAACCAATCCTATCCTCACGTGAAGCCTTTCACTTTCCTCTGATGTACATCTCTCAGCTAGTTTCAAATAAGGCTAACAGACTAACTAAAGGGCGGCTGTGGCTAAGTTGGTAGAGTCGTCACCGGAAGGTCGTGGGTTCGATCCCCAGCTGAGCAACATGTCTGATATGTCCTTGGGCAAGACACTTAACCCTGAATTGCTCCCGCTACTTCAGTGGTGGTGTATGAATGGGATTAGTTACTTCTGATGGATGATACTACATCAGTGTGTGAAAGGGTGTGAATGGGTGGGTGTGACATGCAGTATAAAAGCGCTTTGAGTAGTCGGAAGACTAGAAAAGCGCTTTATAAGCTCAAGTCCATTTACCATTTACCATTTACTAATTACAGACCAGATGTAGGGACATCTATGAGGAACCAGGAAGACTGTAAATATCAGAGAAATGATTTCAGTACATTAAGTAAAACACTGATATGTCTCTTAATAAAGCTTTATGGATCCATCAGAAACCATTAAGAACAACCTACAGGATTATAGGTTGTTTTATTGATTGGACAGCATGACCACTTAATGTCTTCTGAATGGATTTTTACAATTTAAAACTCTGTTATTACCAAATGAAAAGAATGAACAATGGAGAAATAAACCTTGCAAATCCTGGCAAACCAAAATGTGTAATTTAAATTAGCGTAGGGAAGATGAGATATGGATTCTAAAGAGTTGATTTTATAAGGGGAAAAATAAACCAACAACATGGATACTGCAGTGTATTTTTGAGCTAATAGCTAACCTTTATTATCTTGTAGCAATTGTGTAACAGTTTTGCTTCAAAAAGTTAACCCAAGTCAGTCTGCTAGCTACAGCTAGCTAACTTTCTGCCTCTAGCTGGGCTCTTTTCACAAAACATGTAATCACTGGCCAGAGAAGGTAGGCGGTTTTAAGGCAACCCCACACGGCCGTTTTGGATGCCCCTCTGTTTGCCAGATATGAGAGCAGTTATCACAGCAAACAGGTGTTGCAGAGATGGATTTTCTAATAAAACAAGCAGAAGCGTAATCAAACTAGGATGAATACTGGAGATGCTTTTTTTTTTTAAATGTAGAGAGGTTAGAACACAGAAAGGTTTCAAGACAGATGCAGAGCTGGATAAAGACCGAAGCTTTCAAGTCTGTGACATGGCAACCTGTGTGAGCATCGCCTCTAGGGAGGAGGGGGGCGGGGGGAGACTGCAGTACCCATTTTAAACATTACATGTTAGAGTTACACATTGCTCCTTTAAATTGCTATGTAAAAACCCTCATAGGAGATTGAAAGTGCTTTACAACAGAGATGTAGGGTATTAGAAGGCTTCTAAACATCATGTATGATGAACGTAAGAAAGGGTCTTTGGGTGATGCTTTTACTCATCAAAAACTTTCTTTTTGTTTCTTCCAGGTTGCAATAAAAATCATTGACAAAACTCAGTTGAACCCAACCAGCCTACAAAAGGTGAGTCTAACCTCTTTATTCTGATGGATTATTCATTGTTCAGCATATCCTCTGGTTCAGCAATCTGAAATATGCAACACCTTTAGATACCATCTACTTCCATAAACAGCAGCAGGGCACCAGAAACGTGGATTATTTGGTCACATTCAACAAAAAGCTGAAATGTTGTTGTGTTGGAGAGGTTCAGGTTCATCCTCAGAGACGTTCAGGACTGAGAGAGAGAGAGAGAGAGAGAGAGAGAGAGAGAAGAGAAGAGAAGAGAGAGAGCAGCTGAGAAAATGAGAGAGAGAGAGAGAGTTCAGAACTGAGAGAGAGAGAGAGAGAGAGAAGAGAGAGCAGCTGATATAATGAGAGAGAGAGGGCTCGTAGGATGTGATGCTGTTTGGCAGGTGCTACAGACTGGATGGGCGAGAGAGGAGACCTCTGCTCCACAGATCATCTCTCGTCTCTCTCTGAGCTAATCTCCGCCCTGAGAGGAGGGTGACTCATCAAACAAACCCAGTTCTAACCAACCCATCGCTTTCTCTCTGTTTGTGTTCTTAATTTATCTTTCCTGAACACACGTTACTGAGCACTACAGGGGGAAAACACAATGATTGTGTGGTCGGTTCCGTTGGGTTTGGTGCCTTTAGGGAAACTCAGGTGTATGTTTGAAGGAGGACGTTTTATGGACTGTCCTTTTCCTGAATGGTGGAGGGTTCTTGCGCATGAAGGTCAGCAGCAGAGTAGGGGAGCAGTACAGATGCTGCCCGTTGACTCAGGAGCTGGAATAGTTCACATCTGGACGTGTAGACACTGAACATGTCTCAACTTGACATCAGGCAGGAGCTTCTTCTGCCCCGTCGCGTGTTTCAGTCTCTCAGTGAAGAAAGAGCAAAAAGACAGACAAAGGACGCAGACAAGCATTCAACCAAGACATATTTTCCCATAATGCTCGTCATGTGCACATGTAGGCCAAAGTGTCTCCCTCATTTAGCACTAATTCTTCCTGCTCCTCCCTCTTTTTATCGCTTTGTACCTCCCTCAGCCTGCGTTAGCTGCTCTGCCTGTGGGCAAGAAGTGAACAGAGCAGAAGGATCAAATCAGGGATGAAATAATTCTTCTTTGTGTGGTGTTTTTTGTGCGATTTAGTTTGCCTGGAAGATGTCTGTATGTCTTGCTACATGAGTTGGGAAGACCAGTGTGTCTTCATGAGATGTAGCAGAGTTTAATTCCTGAGCACCTTTTAAAAGAGGACTCCCCTGAGATATGTCACACATCCTACTGGAAAAATAGTGTGTGACCAGAATCAGCACTATCTGTCAGGCCCAGTTTTTTGCTTCTGTGCTCAATCTCTTCCATGAATAAGGTGTGTGAATCCTTAAACCTGACATGCAAGTCATCAGTGCAACGACAAGGCCTGACGATGAAACTGTGAAAACTGTGATTTGTTGGCTCTGTAGCATTTCATGAAAACAACAGAGGAATCTGTGCTTGATGCTGTTTTACCAGGATGTTTGTTTCCATACAGTAAGTCTGAGAACAAAACTTCAGACCCTTAGCAGAATAAATGCGATTTGGCAATGCAAGGCAGATTTGTTAGTATAGAACATGTGATACACGGATGCAATTTAAAGTGCTTTGTGGATGAATAATAGAAATGAAAATACACACTTACAATAAAAAAAGAGCAGAAATTAAAGATTATACCATAAAAATGATTTATTAAAATTCATGAAAAGGAAGTGGATAGTTTAAAAAATAATTACGATTTCATTCAATGATGAAGTTGGCATGTAAAAAATCTATATTTTTGCTTCAAGGGGAACCTTTTTTTCCACTTAACCTTTGTGCTCTTTCTAAACTTTTTGCACATTTTTTTTTATATTTCCTTGTAATTCTTCCTGATGCTTGTTTATTTATTTGATGCAAGCTTTGTCACTGAAAAAAATGACCCGTGTCCAAGAGCTACTGTACGTGCGTCACATCATTTATGTTTAGACACATAATATATCAAAACTAATAAACCGGCCGAATGAAGTTACTGACAAACATTTATACCCAAATCTTACAACGCTCACACACACTCTGTTAGCACCAAACTCTACATCGGCAACAGCAGACATTATTTCAGTCAAACTTTTTTTTGGTCCCTCAGTCGTCATGGTCATTGTGTCCTTCACCATGCTGGTGTGGGTGAATGGCTTCTTGTGCTTTGTTAGGATTCACGCCTTTAAAAAAACCTGGGCCGCCCGCTTAGAGGACGAGAGCTTCCATATATGGGGGCGCGTGCTCTAATCACTAGGCGCCCCGGGATTTTGCCACTTTTTATTAGGCCTCCATGTTGGCCTTGTTAGTCCGCTGGCAGAATAGTAATTGTGCAAAGAAACTGTGACTTCAGGTGGCGCAGCGCTCCACGTTACTCCTTTAGCTGACTGTAACGCTGGTCCTGCAGATCGAGCACGTACACATGTCCCTCCCTTTTGTAACATAAACTCGCTTTCCTTCTTCCTGTGTAAATAATTAAGTATGTTTTCTGCTTTTTCTTGGCATGGCCACTCCAACATGAATGTGTCTTAACAGGCTTACTAACAGCACTGAACTCATTTTAGCTCAGCTAGCGTGCAGCGTATAACCTGACATGTTGATGGAGGTTGCTGCTAAATTGCTGTGTTTAGATGTCATGAGTATCACCTTGTAATTGGCAGGTGATTGGCCTATCATTATATTTTGTATTTGAGGGGGTGGGACGTCTGTGTACTTGGTCACAAGGCCGTGATCATGAGCCCTATACAAGATGGACCAACCATTCTGACATTGACCCAAAATGTCAGATAATCAGTTTTAGCCATAGACTGTACATATCTGAAACTTGATCGGCTCAGTTTCAGTCACTAGTGGCAAAGAAATGTCTCTAAAAAAACAAGTTTAATTTCCAAACAAAGCAGACACACCAGCGCAACAATGTAAGGCCACCTGTGCGACTGCATCATAGGAAGCACAATCAAAGCGATGACCTTGGATTGTTGCGCTACTATCAAGACTTTCAAACACAAAATCTCATTGTTTTCTTTTCACGTAGCCTACTCTCGCACCTTGTGATCACTGACTTCCTGAAATCCCCGGTACTTTGATTCATCACATTTCTGTTGCTTTTATCAAGACAGAAATGTTCTGTTTCCTTACCTGGCTGGAATATTAGCCTCTGAAGAAAACAAAACAAAACATAATCCCAGTTTGTGTTTTATCCCGTCTTTTTGGCTGCTTTCTTTTCCTGGACCTGACCAGCTTTCTGTTAGAAACAATGGTGCAACATTGAGGACAGGACTGAGGAGAGAGGAGAAGGATTGGCCGCTGATTGGAGAGAATACTCTACAATTGGCCGGGGATGATAGCGAGCTTCTTTACATACCCGTGGGCAAGAGAAAATCCTTAGTATTGAAGACATGAAAGAGCCCATATTAGCATAATCTGGACCGTAATGTATGTAGAGGGGAGAGGGGAGAGAGGGAGATGTATTGTATAGGGTAGGTATAAGAGGGGGAAGTGAAATCACGCATTGAGAACATCAAGCCAAGAGGAGGGATTACTTTATGAGGAAATAACAGATTACACAAGAAGAAGATTTTCAAATAGCTAGACACCTAAAAACCAAAGCAGAGAATATCTGTGTGGATTTTTGTTACCATCTGCTCGGTTTGTTATAAAACCCAGCTGCCCTTTAGCCACAGCGCTTGTGCGTCCATCGGCTTTATCGCAGGATTACTATTCATTCACCACCGATGACCCGGGCGTTAGCTCGTGGGGATTGTTTATTGTTTTGACGGATCTGTTGAGCAGAGAATTAAACGGGACGCCTGCGTGATGAGACGCTCCGGCAGCAGCACTACGTATCCCAAGATTCCCCCCTCTCTCTCTCTCTCGCACAGCTGGAGAAGCTGGGAAAAGAGCCCGGTTCTTAATACCTGGGTCACTATGGCAACAGTGACGTGGTTGAACAGCTCGAGGAGGAATGAATGAAGGAGGAGGGAATGGAGGGAGACACACACATCATGAGGAAATGGAAGAGGGGGAGGATGGAGAAAAGAGGATAGAAAGCTTATCGCTCCATCTTTTTTTTTCTTTTTTTTTACCAGTTTGAGTTGTTGATGAGGAGGAGGGTCACTGGTTTTCAGCGATGGTGATTTTTTTTTTTTTTTTTAAAGCAAGTATATGAATGTTATAATATGAAATCAGGGGATCTGGCTCAAACGTAATCCCCTGCTCTGCTCTGACAAAGTGTACAAATATATCCTCCACATGCAGACAGGAGTCAGACGCAGAGAGAGGAAGTTGGCCTGTTTTTGGCTTGTCAAATTTTTGTGTTGGTTTTTGTTTAGTTTTTTCAATGGTGAGGTTTTTTTTTTCTGTTTGTTGGTTGTTTTCTCTTCCACAAATGATTTTATGAAAGACCTAAAAGGGACACATTTGTTAAAGGACACAAGTGTCTGCTCGCACTGCTCCACCCTGATCTCTGACAGCTGTCTAGTTCCATTTTAGTGCTCATTAAAATGCTATAAAGACGAAGCAGCAGGACAGTGAATGTAGCTTTTACACTCACAGAGAGGACTCCTGATGCTGAGCATTAGAACTCTATTGCATTCAAAATATGAAATGTACAATTTAATTGAAAGGGAGGAATTACAAGCCAAACCAACGGTATCAACTCATAAACACTGTCTTTCCTTAGTGGGCATGATCTCTTTATTCTCCTCTGAAGATGGTTAAATGATAATGATTACAATAATATTTATTAAGTATAGACAAGGCTTTTATGTGAGTTGTACGTTCAAATTAAGGTTTCATCTTTTATTCCTTTTTTAATTAATTTTTTCTTATCTTTTCAAACATATTTTTAAGCAATGTTGAGGAAAGAGCCGACCCTCAGCCTTTCACTCTGATGTGAAAAATGTTTGCATGTTAAACATTAAGTCAAGTTTATTTGTATAGCACATTTAAAACAGCATCAGCTGACCAAAGTGTCTTACAGACGAGGAATAAGAAAACGAAGTACAAAGACATCTTCAAATGATCGAGATGACACTGAATGAAGTAAACACATGGTTAATGGTAAATATGGAGTATGGACTTGAGCTTGTTTAGTGCTTGTATAGTCTTCCGACTACTCAAAGTGCTTTTACACCGCAGGTCACACCTACACATTCACACACTGATGGTAGAGGCTGCTGTGTGAAGTGACCATCAGAAGTAACTCATCCATTCATACACATTCATACGCCGCCGATGAAGCAGCGGGAGAAATTCACTGTTAGGTGTCTTGCCCAAGGACACATCGGATGTGTTGTTTATGGAGCTGGGGATCGAACCCTCGGCCTCAAGATTGAGAGACGACGACTCCCTGCTGTTTGGTTTTGAAACATGGAGATTGAGGCAGCTGGTTCCACAAAATGGGGGGACTGGAACTGGAACTGGAAAAGCATGGTGACTCTGAATCGTGTGTCGGTGTGGACGTGAGTGTGATGTGAGTGATTGACTGATGAACAGTTCAGGGTGTACCACGCCTCACACCCAATGAAAGCTGGGATCAGATACTGTACATTTATGCTTTATTATAAGTACAAACGGTGTGATTTATCCTGAATGGTTATATCTATTTGACTGTTCATTGAATGGTGTAGACACTGTGAACATACAGACAAGTTCTCCTCTTGTTTTGTCCTCTAGCTTTACATTTTCTGAAAGTAGGAGATGTAGATTTGGGGTCACATCTGTACATGAGGAGTTTGTATTTTTTTCTGTTTCAGAGATTGATTGTTTTCAGATGTTCATCAAAATGAACGGTGTGGATGTTCACCACAGAGCTTGTCTGTGCTGGTGTTGGATCAACAGCTTGGTGTGTCTCGGATTTTTGGCACCGTCTAACTGTGGAGGCGTTGACTTGTTTCATAGGTGCTTTTTCATGACCTCGCACCTACGTGATATACGCTTCAGTGTACTTCAGTTGATCTGCTCATTCATAATATAGAAAATAACCTGCAGGATTCCCAAGAAATAAACCTGAACCAAGCAGCAAACTGTGGTGTTGATAAACAAAGCCAAGGAAGGAAGTGCAAATAACTGCAGTTCCTCGAGTGTCCACTTGAAGCTGGCTCCAAAAGGCCCAGAAGTCACATACACACCCTGAATCAAATGAAAGAAATGAAAATTTTTACAGCCTGGTTCAAAAAACAACTTTGGTCTTATTATTTAATGTCTTTATCGGCACACACTGATTTTATAACTCACCCATTCTGGTTTCATGAAGGATACAAGTTATGCATAGTTAGGGACTCGACTACAAGCTGTTGCATTGTAGCGGTTTATCAGAGCTAGGTAAGGCTGGGACCGCCTCAGCTCCACCTCTTTGCCTGTTGTTAGGTCGACCAAAAGTTTGATAGAGTAAAGATTTCCAATATGGCAACCACCATGGAAGGGCTTCCAAAACAGCAGTTTAGAAACCAACGGGTGACGTCCCTCAAGCGTCATCCATTTATATTTACAGTCTATGTTCTGAACAAAGAAATCCAGGGCCGCTGCTTTAGCTCAGTTGGTTGTGCAGGCGTCCCATGTACAGAGGCTTCAGTCCTCGTTTCACTGGTTGGACTCCTGATCCTGATGCTGCTCGGTGCATGTCATCCAACACTCCCTCTCCTCATGTCTCTCTGCAGCTTTCCTCTCTAATAAAGACATAAAGGACCTGATCAGGGCTTAGAGAAGAGAAGAAATCCCCCATCTCACTTCCAAAGATGTAAACTGTTCTCAAAAATGTGAATGTATTTCTTTACATGAACGTGTTGTTATCAAAGGGCAGACTTAAGGTTATTCAAAGAGACGCTGGTCAACACTCAGAAGATGAACAGAAGATTTTTATTTTAGTCTGAAATCATCAAAATATTATGTTGTTTTTTTCTTCTGTGCAGCTCTTTCGGGAGGTGAGAATAATGAAAGGCTTGAATCACCCTAACATAGGTAAGACACACACTGTACGTGTGTGTGTGTGTGTGTGTGTGTGTGTGTGTGTGTGTGTGTGTGTGTGTGTGTGTGTGTGTGTGTGTGTGTGTGTGTGTGTGTGTGTGTGTGTGTGTGTGTGTGTGTGTGTGTGTGTGTGTGTGTGTGTGTGTGTGTGTGTGTGTGTGTGTGTGTGTGTGTGTGTGTGTGTGCAGACATAAGTATAATAACACTTTGATTAAGCTTTCGAGTGTTCATTGAAAGAGATGTTAGCCACGTTGCAGGCCTGATATGGAGGTCATTTTCTAAAGCTGAATGCCATATGGATGAAACCCCTTCCCCCCCACAGCGTAAGCAGCAGGTTACCTGTATTAAAACAGGCAGGCAGACGGATGTGCAATAATTGATCATGTGAAGAGGATTTGTTGTTCTGTATATCTATTGGATTTTAATCTGCTTGTGTTTTGGCCTACAGTGCAGCTGTTCGAGGTGATTGAGACTGATAAGACCCTTTACCTAATCATGGAGTACGCCAGTGGGGGTGAGTACATTCTCCTGCACATCCAGGGACATCTTTGTGTGTGTGTGTGTGTGTGTGTGTGTGTGTGTGTGTGTGTGTGTGTGTGTGTGTGTGTGTGTGTGTGTGTGTGAGTGTGTGTGTGTGTGTGTGTGTGTGTGTGTGTGTGTGTGTGTGTGTGTGTGTGTGTGTTGTGTGTGTGTGTGTGTGTGTGTGTGTGTGTGTGTGTGTGTGTGTGTGTGTGTGTGTGAGTGTGTGTGTGTGTGTGTGTGTGTGTGTGTGATCGAAGGATGACAAAATGTTTGGTACTGTGACGCTTCTCAATACCAAGTGTTTTAAACTCAGTTATTTTAATCATAGATAGTAGCCTATGGAAAAGTAACAGAAAACACGTAATTGTTTGTATTTTAACCCAAAGTTGCCTCGAGCGAAAGACAGAGAACATTGTAAAAACTGCTCAAATACGTTGGCAAACTTTTTGTGTTTGGCAACATATGTGTGCAACTTAGAAAGTGTGTAGGAGTTTGCCTGCAGATTTATTGTAATTTATTGTAAAGACATTACCCAACATTGGGTGCTTAAGACTTCTATTTTTGTTGCTGTGGCAATTGTTGCTGTGGTAACAGGTATCAATATTGTCTGATTTTTGCTGGTATCATGTCCAAGTAAAACAAATGTGGTATCGTAACAACTGAACTTGATCAGTATTTTGATCATTTATTGTATTATGTTCTTAGTTCTTATTGTATTATGATGTTAACACATCATGGAAATTGCCATTAATGGGTTAACAGAATTAGCATCATGATCTCAATAATTTAGACGTATCAAATTATCTTTTTTTTTTTTTTTAAACAATTTCATCTTAGATGGAGTGTTTCTTAAATTAAGAAATGTTAAGTTAGGTTCTTTTCATCTTTGCAGTCTGTACGGCTACAGTTCTGCGATTGGTCAAAAGTCTAAGCTGAATTAATTTAGCTCAAATGGTCAGCAAATGAAGGAGGCGTGCCGTGACACTTGTCATTCATTTACACTCCAGAAGTGAATAGAAGACGGTGCTACAGAGCTACTAGTCTATTTGAGGACTTTTTAAAATCTGAAACATTTATAGAACTAGTTCAGCATTTATTTATTTCTTGCTCAGAGTGACTCGTAAGGATTGATACCACTCTCATGTCAGTGTGCAAAATATTCTGAGAGAGCAGTGAGCTTAGCTAAGCAGAAAAAAATGGAAATAGGGAAAACAGCAGGCCTGGCTTTTTTGACAATATTGAAAGAACAGAATGTACATACTGGACATTGACACATATTGTACAAAATTTGCACATTTTGGGCGTCTGCTTTGGTTTAAAGTTTGTGAGCCCTCAGGAGCCCCCTACTGGTCTCAGGTCCCAAGCAGTTGCCTGTCTTGCTTGTTGACGAGCAGCACCTCTGCTAACAGTTACCAACAGGAAAAGGAAATATAAGATAAGATTTTAGACAAAAACAGAAACAATCTGGATGCAAACAGTAATGTTGAAAACTGTAATGTTATAACATTTGGCTTTGATGATAAGAAAGATAAGCTTGCTCCAAAACAAGAGTAGCAAAGCTGTCAAGAAATAGATAATAGATAAGTAAATACATTTTTGAGATGGATACCAAAGCCCTTTTAAATTGTATAAAATCCCTGATTACAATCATGACATATTGAGCTTTAATGTGAATGATGTTTTGCAGGAGTGTTGCTATTTAACTAAACTCTGAATGCTGCCGTCTTTAATATATAACAGTTAAAGAATAATTATTATTAAAATATTAAACATAATCAACCTGTTTAACTGCAGACTGTAATGGCTGCAGAACAAATAAACCTGATCACACTTTGCTCAGCTCACACTGTCTTTAAACAAGCTTCTTCTTTTTGTCACTGCAGACTTAGTTTGTTATTAAGCTGTATGCAATATAGAGAGGGTTGCCATGGAGATGGACTTTTTTTGTCAAGGGAAAACCTTTTTTTTTTTAAAGAATAATTATGACTTGAAATGGAAACTGCTCTCTTTAAAGTCTCAATGACAACGCCAGCAACTTTTACTTTTACTTTGGGAGAACACATGTTTACATGGGTACCACCGCCTGGTTGGGTGCTTTGTTTCTTTTGGTTTCTGACAAACGATCAGTTTGTATCCTTCCCTAAAAGATAACAACCTGCACAAACACAGCAGAGGTGGTGGTGGACTCGTGGTCTGAATGGTAAACTTTCTCTTACGCTTGTCTTTGGAGTCTTGAGGCTTTGACGAGAGCAGGGTAACCAATGTTTTTGTTTTCAGAATAATTCTCAGGCATCTCGGTCTAAATTTAAAGACTTATTTTAGTAGAGAATCTTCTGTTACGTTGTACTTTTAGCATATCTTACCTTATAAGGAATATGTTTCAGCCTTTATGGTCTGTCGAAAGCTAGTTGTCTACTCGAGTAGTTATAAAGTGTTTATAGTCTATGAGCCTCCAAAATATGAACCCAAAATACATAAATGGAACCAGGTTTCAAAAATATAGGAATTCCCCTTTTTAAAAGTAGGAAAAGCCAATTGAGATGTTTTTATAATCTAAAGAAAGAGTTTAAGTGTGATAGTTCTTCAGTGATCTATTTGCTTTGTTGGCTTTATTTTCCTTTTTACCCATTCACACTTTGAAATAGATGAACTCTGTCATCACCAGGAGATGACTGTAAACTCCTGTATTGTCTGGTTCTACATTCAAACTTAATAGAGCATAGAACCACAACATAAATAACTGAGCGTCCTCAGAGCAGTAATGATGCTGCAGTGCCAGACCTCGATGCATCTAATGCTGCTCTGTGTTCTTTATGTTTCTATTTGTGTCCATTTCATGTCATCAGCCTCTTTTTTTCTGTTTCCAATCTTAAAGTCCCCTTGAAATAAAAAAATACATTTTCCTGGTTTTAATCCAGCGTTCCTGTGTTAACAGTTCTGCCAAATATATTTCAAAAAGGCATTGTCTGAGTATTTTTACATCAAAATAACTTTATGTTCTCTTCCTGTAAAACATTTTAAAGGTCTGGTGACTCATCCTGCACTCAGGGGCGTTTACTTATTTTTGACCAATTAAAAAGCTTTGTCGAAGCTTCAACGATCCAATCAAAATCAACCAAACCGCATTCTATCTTGTGATTAGTTTGATCCCATTTCAGAAGGAAATAGGTCACTCTGAAAGTTCTGTTTCATGGGGACTTTGAACCAAATGACCTCCTGTCAGCTGTGACCTTCAGAGACAGATTTTTAATTCAAGTCTGTACAACTTGAAGTTCGAGGGGGGGGCGGGGGGGGGGGTATTAGGAGGTTAAGAACGTGAACGCCTGGGAAAAGCTGTGAGCTGTGTTTAAATGTGCATAGTATGATATCTAAAAGCATGTAATGTTGTAACATTTCTCATCTTAACCACCACTGCTCAGTTCTTGTTTTTATGATCATGTTTTTGACATGTTTCATCACAATTTGTAGCACTTTGAGATTTGTTCAAATTTAAAGTGCATTATAAATTAATTCTAAATAAATGTTATCTCAATGTACGTAGGTTATTAGAGCAAAAATATTGGCTTCACATTTGTTCAACAGAAGAAGACATGATGAGTCAGAGGATTGATGACAGATTTAGCATAAGCTAATATAAGACAGTATAAGATAGTAGTAAACTGAGAGAAACAGACTTTTGGAGGTGCCTGTGGTTGGACTTTGTTTCCTTTGTACGAGCCGGGCAAGCTCTTTCTGTCTTCATGCCAAGAGAAATTAACTGACTGCAGCTTTAATCTAAAAGGACAGAAAGAAGAGTGGTGTAATAATCTTCTTAAATAAATCTTAGCAAGACAGGAAATAAGTGTGTTTCCGAAAATATCCAAATATTCCCTAAAGGTGGGATGTACCTGCAGTGTTGCGTTCAATGGCTACAGGACAAATTAGCTCTCTAGGACAGTAAAGCTGAAGAACACACCTTAACAGCATTTGTACTCTAAAAATATGAATAACTGTGATGTGACTGGAAATCATTTGTATGTCAGCACTTTATAATAAAGTAATAACATCCATATAATATATTATTTTCTGACTCATCTGTTTCTGAACACGCTTGCAGGTGAAGTGTTCGACTACCTCGTGTCTCATGGGAGAATGAAGGAGGTGGAAGCCAGAGCCAAATTTCGACAGGTGCGTCAAAAACAACACCTCCTGATACCCACATGCACTCAATCCTCACATTTAATTGTCACTTCTTGAACTGTTATTTGTCTCCTGTCGTTCACAGATTGTTTCCGCTGTCCACTACTGCCACACGAAGAACATTGTTCACAGAGATCTGAAGGTGAGAGAGTCAACAGGATGTTTTGGGGCTGCTTTCAGATACACTCCGGATTAAGGCTAGTCCAAGACTAGGACTTTTCTTTCACTGGCAGATTACTCTGAAAGAGAAAATGATAATCTGGGACTAGTCTTAATCTGTGTCCTTTAGCATCTTAATGGCAGTGATGAGTGGAGAGGCTGTTTTTTACCCAGTGGGAGCCTGCTCCTGTTTTAATAGATTATTACATTCCTAAACACACACAGTGACATATATACAGTATGAGTCATGTCCAGGATCTGTTCTGTTGGACAACACACCAGCTCCAACCCCCTCCCCATCTGTCGCTCACTCACACTCCTGTTTTTTTTTTCTTCACCACAACTCACATTCTTCTGCCGCCCACTTTCTCATTCCTCTTTTCCCTCCACGTCCAACTACTCTGCTCCCCCTTCCCCTCCACAAACCTCCTGTTCTTTGAACATGTCGCTTTATCTGACATCCTCCCCCCGCCCCCCTCCTCTTCCTCTTCTGTCTCTGCTTCCACGTACGGTATGACTCAGGCGGAGAACCTTCTGCTGGACGCCGACGCCAACATCAAGATCGCCGACTTCGGCTTCAGCAACGAATTCACGCTGGGCAACAAGCTGGACACGTTCTGTGGCTCGCCGCCCTACGCTGCCCCCGAGCTCTTCCAGGGCAAGAAGTACGACGGGCCCGAGGTGGACGTCTGGAGCCTGGGAGTGATTCTCTACACGCTGGTCAGCGGCTCGCTGCCGTTTGATGGACAAAACCTGAAGGCAAGTGGGCCAATAAGATCTCATGGAAAGCCTACACATCACAACAACGTGCACACTGCGTAGAAAGAGACCTCAGAACAGTGAACAGCAATCATGGCATTTTGGAACCCACCACCACAAATAACAATATAGTTAATAAATGACATCATTAGATCATCACAGTTATTAAATATACTGTGTGTTAAGATTGATTTATAAAAACGGACATTACGCAGAGTTCCAGTGAATAACGATCCCTGATTGGTTCATTTGAACTCAGTCTCTCATTGGCTTACGTTTACTAGGCCCTCTGTCATTTTATAGCAAGACCACCAATCACAGAGCAGCGAGTGAAGCATGTTCTGCCTAGCATCAGCAGAGACAGAAAACTCTGATAGGATGAAATTGTGGCCTCTTTTATTTAACCCTTTACATGCCAACACAAACCCAGATGGTGTGTTTAAAGGGTTAATTTTTCTCAGGAACATTTTGTTTGTATCATTGTCAAATTAAGACTTGGTATAATAAAATTACTAAAATAAAACGTCTTACTTTGCAAGGTTCCCCTCATGGTGTGTGGTCACAGTCAGAGGGTTTCTGTATGAGGGTCGGGTGAAGAGTAAAGGTTTGACATGCTGTATTTGTTTAAGTAAGGAAAGACACTGAGGCCCGCATTACAATACAGGAAAGCTAACCTCAGTCTTTACATGAAACCTCTTGAATGTACCAAAGCCCTGGGAAAAATAAGATTCTGGTGATTCATTTCTGAGAGGAAATAAAAGATTTAGGAAGAACAACATTTCTGAATTCGTTAATGTTTTTTGTGACAGATTTTTCAGTTTTATTTCTCTGATTTCTGCTAAGTATTCTGTAGTTAGGTGGATTCTTTTTTTACACTTAAATGCATGGTGACTTTAAATCCTCGAAGATCACAGACTGAGTCAGAGTTACTTTCTAAATAGTGAACTGAAGAGTATTAATTGTATGGAAACATGCTCTCAAATGTAAGTCAGGTCACCAGAGGATATAAATACATGCATGTGTTGGGCATTGAAGCATGTTAGTGATTTAATGTACTGTGTGATTTATCTGTTTGTGTGTACAGTAGGCAGTGAAGTGGATTTTAGGTTAGTCGTCTGAGTGTGGTCATTTTTAAACCTGATGATACATGTCCTCTTCACGTTTTGCTTGGTGAAAAGAGGCGCAGTATGGAGCAGCATGGGGTTTCACTTCTCTCGGTCCTTGTGTCAAAATCAGACCGTTATCATGAGGAGAAAATCTTAATTCTATATAAATGAATGTGAAGCCATCACAGTATGTACAGCATGTTCTGTGTGTGTTTATATAATATAATTGAATTTCATGGATCCCTCCTGTGTTTATGTGTTCTGACATGAGAGAAGAGGTCTCTGTTCATGTGGATTCATCCTTTGCATACATTTTCTTCTTGGTGTGTTTGCAGGCCTAACCACCTTGAAACACTTTTTTTTTTACTAGAAGTTAGAGTCTGATTACCAGAGAACACTGATATGTGTGGCAACATGTTTTTCCTTGTCAGGTTTTCATACTGTAAATAGTTTTTTGTATTTACCTCTGCAGATGTTGAGAGGGGAGAAGGGAGAGAGACAGACAATGTTGTACAAAAGTTATTATCAGCCAGTGAGGCCCGTCACAAACAGATCTGGGAGGGTGAAAATGTTTTTTGTTTTTTTAAACTTTTAGCACTGAAAGCAATTCTTGAGATGATTTAAAAATAGAGTTATCACTTTTAACAAAGCACTTTCCAACTCCAAAGTTTACAACACTCCCCGCACTGTCTGTAGCACAACATGTAGCACAACATGTAGCATGGTATCAGGGCTGAGTGACAGTAGTATGAAGTTGAAATGGTTAATAATGTACAATACTGGTGAACACTTTAATCAAGTTGTTTGTTTTAGAAATGCATTTGTTCATAATCGGCAAAAAAGTCCATGTACAATCCTGCTAGAAAACTGGATCTATACCCCAACATATGGGTAATTTAAAGATCAATCCTGAGACAAAGATCTGATGCACATTGAACCTTATTTTCATCATTTATTCTCCATTGCAAAGTGTTAATAAATACTAGTGTATGCACCCCTCTGTCTGCTTTGGTTCCCCTGCTGTACTGTTGTTCTCTAGAGTAAAAACCTGCTGCCAAAACAAAAAGTTCAAATAATATCTTTATCCAAAATCCAGCAGATGGCAATGAATGCCCCCCAGAGCTCCTCCAGAGGGAGGGGTCTAATGTGTGTTTAACCCCTCTCATCTGTGTGAGTACAGCACTGCAGACTGCGTGCAGAGAGAGAGAGAGAGAAAAGTGAGATGTTTAAATGAAACAGATACCGTTACATCAGACCGGTCGTATCAGAGAACCTCCCTCCTGTTGACCTGCGAAAACCAACGTTTGTCAATGGTAGTGAAAAAAAAAGAGAGAAAGAGGAAGACAAGGCTTTGAATGCTTGTTGGAGGGGCCCCCAAATGATTTTTTCTGAGCTGACCAGTGTGCGGACCTTTTTCCCTTTTTTTCCTTGATTGTTGTCTTTAAACTGTTTCTGTTTGTGTGTCGTGTTGCCAACAGGAGCTTAGGGAGCGCGTGCTGAGGGGAAAGTACCGCGTCCCCTTCTACATGTCCACAGACTGTGAGGGGATCCTCCGCAGGTTCCTGGTGCTCAACCCCTCCAAACGCTGCACCCTTGAGGTAAATGAGTGCCGAACAAACGACACACACAGATTTATTTACTTGGTGAAAAAATCGAACTGAAGCTCGTTTTGTCTTCTTGTTTCTACAGCAAGTGATGAAGGATAAGTGGATCAACGCAGGATACGAGGGGGAGGATCTGAAGCCCCACATAGAACCTGTGGAGGACTTCAGCGATCCAGCTCGTATAGGTGAGACACCTGTGTCACCTGTCTTATTCACCATGTCTCTATTTGTCTTGATGCTTTTGACGTCTTGTGTGAAGCACTTTGAATTCCCATTTGTCTGAAGTGTGTTATATAAATAAACTTGACTTGACTCTATCAGTGGAAGAAATATAAAAGATCCTTAAACAAGTCAAAGCCAGTCAAGGGAGCAGATCATAATTCCAAATCACATTATGTCACCAATGAAACATGGGCTGGTTGGTAAAAACCCTATTAACATTAAAATCAGCACCAAGCCTTCATTTGTTTTTTTCACTCGTATTTAATCAGGAGATACAAAATCTTCTCAACAAGGGAGTCAAAACACCAAAATATATCTGTCTGTCTCCTCTCTCACCTTCACACCTGTCTGCTCGTGCTCCTCAGAGGTGATGGTGGGGATGGGCTTCACTTCAGAGGAAATCAAGGACGCTCTGCTCAATCAGAAGTACAACGAAGTCACAGCCACATACTTACTGCTGGGCCGCAAAGGAGACGTGAGTTATACACAAACACAATCTCCAATTTGTGTTTTGAATCTTTTAGAAAGCACTTCTTGTTGTTATTTATTCTTATCACATGTGTTATACTCCATTTTTTGTGTGTATTTATATATTTTTACAAGACATATTTTGTTATCTTATTTTTGATTTGATCTACAAGTTGAAACTAAGGTTAAAAAATCTGACCTGATTCAGTTCTGTCTTTAACTGCCTGACAGGTTCAGGTGCTCTGTTCACATCTCAAACTACTCTGGTCCATTACTACACAACTATTATCAGAATTTTCCAAACATACCAATTCTCTGATCAGAAGTTTTCTACTCTCCCTCTATCATATTCACTGTCACATTACAGGAGGGCAGCGAGGCTCGCTCAGCTAGTAGCCTGTCCCTGGCGAGGGTCCGACCCAGCCCCATCACCAACGGGACCAACAAGCACTCCTCCGCCACGGGCTCCTCGTCCTCCTCCACCTCCTCCTCTCATAGCAAGACGCAGCGCAGTGCCTCCACCTACCACAGGCAGCGACGGCACAGCGACTTCTGTGAGCCTCTTTTCTGACCTCATGGTTCTTTTACTCTTTTTGAGCCTTACATTGACGCAGCTCTACACTTTTTAAATCAAATTAAAAGGATTTTATAACTCAACCAGTTAGTTTAGAGTTTAAACTTAGAGTAAATGTGTTACCATGCAGTGGATGATGAAATGATTCCTCACCAGTTGTGGGTTAATGCAGAGAAAGCTGCAAGGTTTATCTTCCATGTCCCCCAGTATACAGAATATTCCTTATATGAGTCCCTGTGTGTCTGTGCTCTGCTGTCCTCCACAACAAAGGCGGGCCCTCCATGCCCGTCATGCACCCCAAGAGGAGCCCGACCAGCACAGGCGACCGGGAGCTGCGGGAGGGTCGGATGCCTTCGCGTAAGGCCAGCTGCAGCGTGATGGGGAGCCACAGCCTCCCCCCCTCCAGCCCCATGGTCAGCAGTGCCAACAACCCCAACAAGTCCGAGATCCCAGATCGCCGCAAAGACATGACTGCCACCACGGTAAGAGACGGACGTTCTCCTCAAGCTGGGAGCAGACTGTGGATCTCTACCCAAAGTACCAGGATCTTTTAGTACCAGGGACTTCAAGGATCCTTTAGCTTCATGTTGTCTCTGTTTTGATGTAACCTTTAACACCTGTGTGTTAGTGTTTGTATTACTGGAGTATGTCTGTCTCCTCCTCTTTGCTACACGTGAGGTGGTTCAAGAGTCTGTGGGCTTTAGTCCAGCAGAGTTAAGTGTTGCTCTCAAACTTCTACAGGAGAAGTGGCTGGGTGAGAGTAAATCGCAGAATTTGTGTAACTATGTCCGTAACTTTGGTTTCAAACTCCATCGAGCTTGTGAATTGACCAAAACAAAAAATGTCTGTTGCTCAAGAAAAAATGAAGCGGTGGTAAAGATAAAGACCCAGGTGACAAAGTCTTAATGTTGTTGCCCATTCCCGGTTCCCGCACGTAAAAGTCCTGAACTGACCGACATGCACAAAAAAACAACAAAGCATCATGGGCAGAACTGATGATCTATAACCCCCTGCAGAAGAAGAAAAAGTACCATCTTTTAGGGTAACCATGGTAACTTCAGGGTTGACTTTTTATTTTTTATGGACTATGAAGGTAATTAATTTCTTATCGGGGTAGATCACCATGGTAACTCGTGATGAACACCTTAACTGATCCGGAGCAGGTTACTGTATGTTCAGGAGAAGAGACCAACCTGTATGAAACTCCGTCTACTGACCAATCAGAGCTCTCGATCACAGAGCTCTCGATCACAGAGCTCTGTGAGCGGATGTTGAGAGGGGAGGAGGGAGAGAGACAGACAAACACTTTGGATTTTCTTTCATATCAAGCATATCATCTTTCATCATTAATATTAATGCTTTAAAAGGTAATCATCCGACGACTGAATAAAGCAACAAAGCCTTTTTACTTTTTGTACATATAGGATATGAAGATGAGCGCACTTCCTGCTTTCCATGATGTTTTCACATTTGTTTTTTTATAAGCCACAGGCTGCTCCGTATATGTCGAAGCTACAGCTGAAATATAATGTTTTAAATCGTCAGAAACACCACGTATGAAAAGCGAGTTAATTTAAGGAAGAAATGGGAGTAATTATATTCAGACCTGTTGTGCATTGATGATGAATCAGAGATATAAAAAGCATTAATGTGCGCATTAACACTGATTTTCTTTTCTGCCAGTTCTTCTTCCTACAGTCGTTGCTGCAGCGTGACAAACTCATAGCAAACTCTGATACTAGAAAAAAGGGAAGCCTGGGTATGTTGAACTCGGTTCGTAGACCCCGCCCCCTGACCGTCCTTTCAATGCAGAGCTGAGACGAGTGACGTCACAGCTACATTCATTCAGACCTGGCTGCTCAGCCTGAGGTCGCATTGCAAAAGATCCGACTTGTATCCGATTTAAGACGACATGTGAATGTGACTCTGTCCACACTGTCGCACAGAAATCTGATCTGGGTCACATTGGAGCAAAAAGAATCGTTGGGTAACATTTGCCTGCAGTGTGAACGTAACCATGGAGACCTGTTCCTCTGACATCATGCTCAGGATGAGAACATCAGACCAATGCTGATCTTCTTAATTGATCAGCAACTTCAAAAGTGACATATTGTGCCATTGCTCAAGTTAAAACACAGAAAACAGTGATACATATGATCATTTATTTGCTCCCTTTTGGGATGCAAATGTTAGCGATTTACCATCTTGGAGGTGCATGCAAAATAGCCAGGAGAGTTTGATATGAACTTTCCTGTGTCCTTTTCTAGACACTTAATTATTTATCTGGATCTCCTCGTATTAGATGCACATCCTGCATTTGAATCCCTCCATGCTGGGGACAGCTATTGCAATGCTTATGTTTTCACATTGTCAGCCCAACCATCATATCCCAAAATCTCAGAAATGCCAGGAGGGAATGTCTTTAGATTTGGCGCCCTTGTCCTCTTGGATTTAAAGATAAACTGATTTCGATTTTGTAGTCAAATGTGTGACCCAACACCCAGCCTTCTTTTTGTATGTGATACGTGATATCGCAGCAAATTTGCCCTGCGGGAATTTAATTTCATCTGTTGTACGTCAGAGAAACCCAGAGAGAGAGATTTCTTCTATGTACGTTCTTTAAATGATTATGCCTTAACCTCTCCTGGTTTATGGAGGTCTTAAAGTGAAAGTAAGTGTAATGTAATCTTTGAAGTGGCCGCACAGCTACAGTGTCATCTGAAGGAAACAGTGATGGATGTGAACTGATATCTGTGTGCAGAGTGCAAAGAGTTTATTCGAGTAAACATGTGTGATATAGTTTGGTGAGATTTTATGGCCAAAACTGTCAATTATTTATTATTATTAATCATGAATACAAGTTATACAACATCTGCCTCTTCCTTCATCTCTCTGTCTGTAGAATAACATCCCTGGAAGCGCCATGACGCGCAGGAATACGTATGTATGCACAGACCGCTCAGGCGCTGACAGACACTCTCTCCTGCAGAACGGCAAAGACAACAGGTACCATGTGTTGATGTTTTATTGTTTACATGTGTACAGTACAGATCTTTGTAATAGGTAGTTTCAGCAGGTACCAACTATTGACTATTTAATGCAGCCACATCAGTGTCATGTCACAGGGATTATTTGTCAGAGCAATGACACAAAGGCTCGATTTATACATGAACTTTAAAAGATGGACGCTCCTTTTGTCTGAGTAAATCACCTCAAAGAGGAGTCCGATTTTTCACCCTCACTTCCTCTCTTGTTTGGAGGATGTGTGAAAATCTGAAATAGAATTCCCCGGTACATTTTGTTTTCTTGGAAGTTTGCCTGCTGAGTTTCTACAGTTTTTACTCAGATTAAACACTCTCAGTCTGTCAACAAGGACAGAACGACACATATTCCCTCCCTCGTCTTAGCTCGGAAGATCTGAGGAGCTTACATAAATGAAAGACGTTATGTTCTGTCCACTGGTGTGAATGTGAAAGGAGTCAAAGGAACGCCATCAAAAAGAAACAAAAACAAGAAGAACAAAAAACATGGAAATATGAAAATCTGTTAAATAAAAAAATGCGTGGCAATAAAAGAAACAGTAGCAGCTCACGCTTCCTTATGTAGCGGTCTTTAAAGTAACATGCAGTGTTTCTATGGCAACGATAAACATGTTGTTATAGTTACAACTATAAAATAAATGATTTATCTGGTTTACATAACTGTTAGAAATATCTGAGGTAATATAAGTACTCAACAATCAACAATATGTAACAGGTTTAGTCAATTTTTAGTAAATTAAGATGTTCTTTTTTGTAAACATTTTACATAATATGACTTTAATACACGTACAACAACAGAAATAATTGAACAATTAACGGGAATATAAAGGAACAGATGTTTGATCTTTTTTATTTTTAAAAGAGAAAGGAAATACATGTTTGCCCTGTTTCTCTTGATATGTCTACTAACATGTTGCTCTTCAGTTTAAATGTCTTTGTATTTATTAGATTTTATGTTAAGAGATTAGATGTGTGACAGTGGTATAACTCTACAAATGAGTATGAACAAATGAAGCTTAAAACAAAAAAAATCCATGATTTAATTTGAATGTTTTTTATCAAATATTATTGAGAACAGGGTCTTTCTTTTGGCGTTTTTATACATCAAAGATGTGATTTTAGGAGAACAAGCACCGCTCAAAAGACGTTTAAAGACGTTTCCTCTCTGCAGCTCTCTGGGTCACCGCATACCTGCAGCGTCTCCCTCCACGCTCAGCATCTCCGGGGCCGGAGCCGCCTCCTCCTCCTCCTCTTCAGACCGATGCCGTCTGACCAGAGGATCCACAATCCGCAGCACCTTTCACGGGGGACAGCTGAGGGACCGCGGGGCCCCGGTCTACTCGGCCCCCCCTACTTCACCCACCCTGTCCCACCATGAAGCCAGCCCTCTGCCCCACGCCCGCACCAGGGCCACCTCCAACCTCTTCGCCAAGCTGACCTCCAAACTCACTCGCAGGTAGATAAACGAAACACGACGCACACCCCATCAGACCTAAAGATCAACTCAGTTTATAAACTTCTGGATTTGAAAAGCAATCTCCTCAAAGACTGGAAACATGTCTGTCAAATAACTTTACTGCTTTCTTCTGTTTGCAGTTTGTATGCTAAGCTAACCATCTCTTTGCTAGTTTTTTTTATTTAACTCTGCAGGGAAGCTAATACATGAATCTCACAGATCTTTAACTCTGCCTTTCACTGCAGATGATTTATGTTTGACTAATAATGTCATGGCCAGAGGGTTTCTATTTGATATTTTTTGCTATCTTTTGTGCTACTTCTGAATTATTAACATGATTTCTTTCCATCTCTTATTTTTTTTTACTGGGAATATTTGTACAATAAGATTATAACCACTCATAAGTCTCTATAATAAGTATCAAACTGCAGCCAGATGCTTAGCTTAAAGAAGCGTATCTTATTTTAGCTTAGTTCAGCTTAGCTTAGCTTAGTTTAGCATAGCCTAAAATCTGAAAGTAAGGGTAGTCTGGTGATATTCAGAACCCAGCACCTTTGAAACGTTAGAAAATGATTTTTTACCTGTATTTTACATATTAAAGAAGCATACACCATTACTCAACACCCTTCAACAGGTGCAGGTGGAGGTGTATTTTTCTTTTTTACTTTGAACAGAGCTAGGCTAACTATGCATGTGCTATGCTAAGATAAACATCACCTGGCTGTAGTTTTATTTTAACCAATATTGAACCTTAAACTGCAGGTGATATCAAGTCGACTCATATTTTAAGTCGGAAATTTGTTTCAATTAGACAACGTTGATTATTTATTTTCTTCAAATGAGGAACCTCAGTCATTAGATCTTTAGCTTAGCTTAGCATGAAGTCTGGATTCAGCTGCCACTCACCTAGTGCGACCATATTTTCAAAATCGGGACACTTTCATTTTACCGAACATGTATCCACAGATCGATGACCTGCACTGAAGATGGTAGGTAAAGGTTTCCTCCTGAGTAGCCCCTTTTAAGTTCCACAGACACTTGTAGTGTGACTGAAATGCAGCATATTCACTGCCTGGTATTCATTGAAGGAAGCTGTAACTCTCCTGGATCTCTTTGGAGAATGCTGACTAAAAGAGCTGGGTGGGGCGAGAAGACGAGAAGACTGGACAGAAGGGGAAACAGCTAGTTAGAGAAAAAAGGCACTCCATAACATTTAACACTTTGGTTTATGTACGTAAAGCACCGACATAAAGGAAGGTGCTGAAGACAAACTGGGGGTTAAAACAAGGCAGGATTACTTTTTTTTGTTAGAAACACGACCTGCACAGGTACAGGACAAGATTGTCTTGACAAGTTTGCAAGTAAAAATCATCAACTAACCTCTGTAAGTAACAAAACCATCAGCCGTACGTTTTTGACTTGGACAATGAAGGACAAAGTTACATGAGATATTAACCTGCTAAATTCAACCTCTAACAAACCCATTACCTTATTTATTTTTTATTTTACTGGGAATATTCCAACTGAGATACAAAGTTTTTTTAACAGGCGAGTGCTGGACAAGACAGCAGCACAAAGATATAAAGACAAAATAAAAACAGACAATAAGAATCAGAAATGACATCAATCAATACAGCAGCAGCCGTCTGACGAGACTAAAGAAGGATGGAGACAAACAGAGCAACAATGAATAAGATAGATTTAAAGCTACAATGTCAGTAATAATGGTAAAAGTCTGTGTAGTATTAGCAGTAACAGGTTAGTGTGATAATAGACTGATGAGTCTAATCACATGTGACAAATGATCCTTAATCCTGTTTTTAAAATCTTCAGACTAATAAAAAAAGATTCTAATTTAAGGTGAACCTGTAGCTCAGAGCAAGATGAGGAAGAAGACATAAACAAAACCTTAACCTCCCTCTGCAACATTGTTCTTTATTTGACCTGAAGTAAACAAGGACGATCCTTCCTGACTAAATGAAAAATCAAGATCTTAAATAATGAAGCTAATCATATATTATGAGTTGCTGCCATCCGTCTAACCTGTCTTCTAGTTAACATTTATTTTTATTCTGGTTCCCACGTGTTCTTACATGAGGCGGGTTCTGCTGCTGTGACAGTTATTTAAAAATCATGACCTCGTGTTTAAAACGGTGTCTTTAGAAAACAAAAATTCAAGATGCATGATAGGAAACCATGTAGCATTGTTGTGCAGTTCCTCTCTCAGCCTGAGCACAGCCTGGTATGGATCCCTGCTTATCAGAACATTTTATTCACCCAGGCCTTTTGGCAAGCCCTACTGCGGCCTCTGGATAATCCTCTGCTCCCCTCTCCCTCCCGGTCGTCATAATCACACATGTCTAATCTTATCAAACCTCAGCTTTATCCCTGCCAATCAGCTCCCGCGCTGCGCTCTTTTCCTCCACTTGCTCTCCTGTGATCCAGTTTTATTCTCTCTTACCCCTCCCCCACCCCCCCTGCTCCCTCTTACCCCAAATATCCTCTTTTTTCTCCATCTTTATCTTGTTGTGCTTTCCCTTCTGTCATGGCAATAGGGTCAACCTTGACCCGTCCAAGCGCCAGGGCTCAAACAAATCAGTGTCGGGTTGTACTCTTCCACAAGGATCAAAAACAGTTAGTAAGTTCCCATGTCTCTCGCTTCTTTCTCGTCTGCCTGTGCTGCCTCGTCTGTCTGCCTGCTCACAGGACTGTGTCGTCCACACTGCCTGACTGACTTCTTCATCCCTCTATGAATTATTGTCTGCATGACTTGTTAATTCATACTACCAACGTCCCACACACTTGGTTTTAAGCATGGTCGCCATCAAGACTTTCATTCGATTCTTTTTTTTTTACCTTCAAGTTTGAGGATAAATGTCTTTGTCATAAAAAAAAACAACAAGTGATCCAGTATGACTCGTATGCATAGAGGACCCTTAGAAGTGGTGTTTTCATTTTGTTTTTAATGGTTTCAAAGTCATTAAATGTTTATTCCATGTGTTGTTTTGGTAAGAATGTATATAAACCCTGAGAGGAAAGTGAGATTAAAATATTTTTAATCCCTCTTTTAAGTCTGATCTAAACAGTTTTCTCTCCTATGTTTATGAACAATGAACAGGTGAAACAGATCCTCCTCTAAAAGTATCCTGGAATTATATAAGTGTTTATACAGCCAGAAAAAAAAACAGAAAATTGTATATACATTTTTTTTAAAACGCCATAGAAATTTTAACCACCAAAACTTTTTTTTCTACCTTTTTTTTTAAACCAAAAAAGTATCAGAAATGTTTTCTTTGCAAACTTTTCCCCCATCTGGTAAACCCTTTTCCCCCCACAGTTCTTGCATGCAAAAAGTAACAGAAGATGTTTTAGCAATTTATTTTACACCTACAAAGTGTTTCCCACCCGTGTTGAAATAAAAAGATTGTTTCTAATAGTGCTTTCACACTTGCAGAAAACTCCTGAAATACTCCTGATAGGAGCTGTATGTGTGAACGCAAACAGACAACATTTTACTCTCAGGCTTAACCCAGAGTTTCTCCTGTTATACCTCGAGTATTGTTTCAGCTGGTGTGAGAACGCAGCAGGATATTCTCTGAAGAATTCACCTCCAGCCAATAAGAGGGGGAGTGAAGTTTATATCCTGTGACTGCTGCACGGTGCATAGAGTGTATACACAACAAGTAGCATTGATATAAAGGCATCATGTCCTGAAATGATCTAGATATTTTTCAGGAGTTTATATCAGAGTATATCTCCACTGTAAGACTCCTAAGTTTATAAAATGGTAACTTAAGTCACAGGAATACCTCTTCCCCCCAAAAGCTCTAAATCAGTGCTTTGTTGCAGCAGTCCTCCTGAAATGATCTAGATATTTCAGGAGTGCAAATTTGAAAATGGCTCTCGTAAGTTAATACCGGCAAAGAAAAAACCCTTTTTTCTCACTTGAAAACCCTTTTCCTCCCTCTTGTTACACAGCTGTAAGCAACAACAGATTATACTAGAAAAACGATCTCTTGGGTCATTACTTTAGAAGAGAAACAAAATCGATAAGACTTAGAAAATGGAGTACGTCTTGTTTTTTTCTCACTTTTCTCCTTCTGTTATAATGAATGTCAATGTTTAAAAAGTGATTGTAAAGAGATTGAAGTGCTCTGTGCATGTTTGAAGTGTAGTGAATGAGTTAACAGGTGAGTAACATGAAGACCCTGTTCTGTACATCACATACTTGTTGTTGATGCCTGCTCAGTCTCACTGAATGCCGTCTCATCTGAGAGTTTCTGCTGCTCAAAGGGCTCGTGGTGCTCTCGTGGATTACCTCTCACCCTGCCTCTTTTATCCCGCAGGGTCACAAATGAATCTGAGGGAATCAGGAGATTTGCGGTCACAAGGTCAGTACATGTGTGGCAGCTGCAATGACAACAGTAACACAACAGATACAAGTTTATTTCTCCTGATAAAAAAAAGAGGTTGTATGATGAAGCATCTTAAATCATAAAATATTTGTTGGTAGACATGTTATTTCTAGGTTTTAGTATTTTTTCTGTGTTAATAAGATACAACAACTTCTACTATTTTATTAAATTTTCATTCTTTGTGCCGGCTTTTATTACCAGCTCTTTATGATCTAATTAGTCAGTGTGTGTGTGTGTTTGTGTGTGTGCCTGCTGTATTGGACACGTGTAATATTAGACTTAGACTTAGACTTAGACTTTCTTTATTGTCATTCAAACTTGTACTTTACAGTGCAGATAAGAACGAAATTTTGTTTCATTTGGCTCGTTGTAGTGGTTAATATCGTTAATATGGTTAGAAGGTCACATTTTATTCCAAGATTAGAAGACAAATACTTTAATGATGTGGTTAAACTAAAATGGAAATGTGACTCAATGAGGCAAAATCTAACAAATCAGGTTCGACTTTGTAAATCCTTAGTCGGGGACTGGCCTAAACCAAACCTTTTAAATGTTTTCTCTTGCTAAGATAAGATGATGCCCCCTGAAAATCTACTGTTGCATTGTCTATTTCTTTTTTCAAAGTCTTTATATGTGATTTTTCACACTTAAATGTTAAAAGTATAAAGTATATCCTCTGAAAATAACTCTGTGAGTCATGACTGTCTACAATGGGTGTAACACCCGAGTCCCACTGTCTGTGATGTTTTCAGAGTTTTCAGAGTCCTATCTTCAGTTTGTTTACATCTGCGGGACAGCTGGCTGACTCCTCCCCTCACATATAAAAGTTGTTTAATTGAGGGACTAGAGAAAAGAAGAATAACATACTGTACTCACTGCTTAACTGTGTTTCTAGATCACGCTCATTTCAGGTAAATTTACATGCAGTGTGAAGATACCAGCATAATAAAGATCGCTAGCATTAGCATGCTAACACAACAATGCAGTGCAAGTTGTTTTGGTTTCATGCTGGTGCTCAAGGGCGACATCTACTGGATCAAAAAATCACATATAAAGCCTTTAACCCATCATGTCTTATTGGTTACTACAGGCACATTTTGAGGCTTTGTTTATTTTAGGCACAAACTGCATTTTTTTCTGTGAATTCCAGGTTTTTTAATTTTATTTGAAACGCACTGGTTCTAAATCAAGCACAGTTTTCATAACACTGTAAAAAATAATTCTTAAATATTTTCTTTGAACCAGATGTGCTACGTTTATGACATGAATAGTGACATTTTCTACATCTGTTAATTGATAGTTTTCAGATTTTTTTGTCTCATTTTGCCTCCCCTGAGCTAGCCTCTGTATTTCTGATTTGTGTCCCTCTTGTCCGTAGTTGCCATCTACCTGGGAATCAAAAAGCGTCCGAGCCCCGGGCCGTCGGACGTGGCTGGGATCTGAGAAGCGGTGGGCGGCGGGACCCTGCGGAGGTGGTTCTGGCTCTGCGGGAGGCGGCGCTCGGATGCGGCTGCCAGGTCCACCTTGCCGGCCCCTTTCTGCTGTCCTGCACCCACGGCGTGGCGGGGGGCCGCGTGGCTTTCGAGGCCGAGGTGTGCCATCTTTCAACAGGCTCCTCCGAGACTTCTAACGGGGTGCGCTACACGAGACTCTGGGGGGCGCCGCTAGCTTTTCGGGACATTGCCACCCAAATCTCTAAAGACCTTGAACTCTGAAGCGGAGGGGGTTGTTTGCGTACACAGTGTGTGTTTTTGTGTGAGTGAGTGTTGATGTGTGTGCAAAGGGAGGGGGGTGGAAACAATCCAAGAAAAAAAAAATATATATATATATCGGAGAAGGGGCGAGGGGCTGGACCCGAGTGAAAAGACTTCTCCTTCTGTCTCTTTCATGACTTACCCCCCTCCCCCACACACACACAAACACACACAAACACACACAGATCTGACCCATAAGTCACACAGACTGAAGCACCCCCCTCCACCCAAATCACCCCACCCAGCTCAGCCAACTTCTTCACTGAGCGTCTGCACCCACTGGACCTGGATCAGACAGAATCTAGTTGAATATTTTTTATTGCTACTCTAGCCATAATGACTCTTTATTTTGTTATTTATTGCTCCGATCATCGTTTTCACCCACTGTCACCTTCACAGCGACAGAAAAAACACCATCTCTTTGTGTATCAGCCCCCTTTTTCAAACTGTTCTTTTTATATGTCACCTTTGCGCAAAACCGTTCATTTTATTCCCCTTTTTACGGATGACCTGAATATCTGCTGACTCTTCATCACCTGGGGACAATCACATGCACACTAACGCGGGGATGGTGCGACTCAGTGATCAGATACAGCAGCCGCAGAGAGTTGCATTGCTTTGATTCCTGTACATACAGCAGAGACGACTGCACTGGATTAAGGTCAGTGTGAGCAGCGTTGACAGGGCTCAGAAGCAGCCAATCAGAGGCAGACCTGGAGTTAAAATCAGTGAAATCTTCCGCTTTGTGAGCTAATAGAGTAGTCACCTCTCAGACTTCAGTTTACCTGCATGACACGAGCAGGAATTAGAAAGTACCTCTGATGCAGTACTTTCATATTCCGTCTATAAGAAATGGATGTAGCCATGGTGACACAAACTATTCATGTGTGACGACCACTCTGAAGCCTTATATTTGGCATCTTGGCTCTTTGCCATCTTGTTGTTCTTGGCCAGAATTGACCATGTTGCTGGGTTATCAGCTAATGCTAGCACTTTCTTGGTTAGCAAGGTGCATCCTTAAATCCCAGTAACTGTCATGCAACTTGGATGCTAATGACAGCTAGTGGAAAAAATGGCTTTATGCTAAATGTGCGAACCAAAAAAAGATGGCTACTAAAAATACAATAAAACACGAAACAAGACGCCACCGAGGTAGCTTCACCCTTAAGCATGCTCTTCTTTATTTACTCAATTGGACCATTGTTTACAAAATGAACATTGAGCTGTTCTGGAGAAGATTTGAACTTTGTGATTGAGACCAGAATCTGATAAGGAAAATGTTTACAGTCTCGTAGACCCAATCGAATCAAACTCCTCGCCCCCTCCTGGCCATTAGAAATAATGCAGGCTCTACTGAGACTGGCTTTTATTTTTAGATTTAGGCCTATGGAATATAGTTTTTTCTTTCAGGCTCTCTTAAAGAATAAATAATAAGGCCTGAAAGGATTACATGCACACACCCTGCACTCTGATTGGCTGGGGTCAGCGTCTGTCAGCGCTGGTCATTGTCGTTAAAGATTTTCCAAGTATTTTGGATCTTTGAACCCCCACCCCATCCCCCCACTTCTATATCTCTCATCCAAACAATGTACTGAAGACAAGATCAGTTAAAAAAGTCGTTCTTACTCCAAGTTCTCTTAAAACAGATTTACTGTGAAGCCGTGTTGCACAGGATCATAAACCTGGGGATCTGATGAAGTTTAAAAACTGACCTACCAAGTTGGACTTTTGTGCTGCACAATTCACAAGAATTGACTTTTGTTGTCGTCCTGGCCAGATAACGAGTCAGTCTTAAGGTCAAAGGTCAAAGGTCAAATCCTCTTTCTGATTTTGCTTTTAATTGGCTACCATAAAATAAATAATTTCAGTGATTTGTACAGAAGCCCTAAGAGGACAGGCATCCACGTTTTCTCGAGATCTTGACTCTTTCATGCCGTTGTCTCTGAATAACAAAACAGGTTTTCCATTAATAGCGAGTTCATTACAGTCGTTTTCTCCAAATCTCAAAAACAAACATTGATAAGATAAGAATAGTAAAGTAAAAAATAGTCAAATAAAATGGATGGATGCATTTCCGCTTAGGGCAAAATCTTGTCTCAGTGTTTTGTAGCAAGATGTCAAACAGTTCTGTTTTACCTGCACAGTCCTGAAATCTTTACTGGGACAGAGGATGTTAAAAAAATGTTCAAGAAAACAATGTCATCTTGCACTAAAGAAAACAAAAGATGTCTGCAGAGGACTAACATTGAGCAGGACTGTTTAGTTTATTCTTGCATACTGTGTGATGGAATTATAACCAACAAAATTTACCATCCTGTTAGATTTGCATGGAGATTAGATTACAGACGACCTCCTCATTTATTTAAAATGACTTGAGGTGCCCAGGTGATTCTTGTCCTGTGCACATACGGCTCATGTCGGCTTTATTTTCAGTGCAATGCAATTCTTTGGTTATCTTTTCTGTGCCATGCTATCTCACCTCAGCCGTCATCTCAGCAGATCAGACAAACAGGGAAACAAACCTCTCAGATTGCACTCTTACCTTCACACACACACACACACACACACACACACACACACACACACACACACACACACTCACACTCACTTCCAAATGTCCACCCTGTCCTTATCTGTGGGGAGTTGGGGAGGTGTTCTGACTCTGGAAAAGGCCAGATGAAGGCAGTGTGCATAGTGTTTTCTTTTTTGTTAGTCCAGTTGCCTTTAAAGTGAACGACCCCCAGCGCCTTCATTCAGAACATGTTTCATGTATTCAAAAAAAGAGAGAGACGTAAGAAAAAGTGCAAAAGCTTTCTATTCTCCCTCCCTGTTTTTAGTGAATAACGTACTGTGATATTTACGTAGGCTACAGAGATCATGTTGTTTGGCTGCTGATTTACTGTTAATACTATCTCTCAGTTGTGGCTTTGCTCATGGTGACCCAAAAACACCCCCCCCCCATTTCCTTCCCCACCCATCCCTTCATTAACAGGAACCTTAGCTGTCCACCACCTTCGTATGCTACACCCACTTTTTTCTATCGTCACAATGAGCGTTTCCTCGGCTCCTCGTTTAAGACCCCTGTTTTCTCACAGGGAGACACTCAGCCATCGTCCACTCTCTCACATTGTAGACCCCATGTTTCACATCTTCTCGCTCCTTTTTGGTTTGTGCTGTTTCATGGAGCAGACACCAACATGGACGCCAGGAGTCTGTCCTCGTCCTCCCCCCCTGGACGTTTCTCATTGTGGTGTATATTAGCATTAGGTAATATAGACCTCAATGCACTTTGCTTTGACTTGAATCAGCTCCTTCCAGTGTACCTGTACAGGTAATACCCAGAACTAGCCACTGGAGGGCGCCAATGTCTTAAATGTGAAACACTTCAATTTGTGGATATTTGCACAGGTACTTTATTTATTTTTTAGAATAATATCATTTAAAAAACAGGATTTATATCAGTCAGTTGATGGCTGTATATAAAATATATGAATATAGTATATATCTTAGAGCTCAAGGTTTATTTATAGCTAGAGCAAGGGAAGTACTTCTAGTTTAAAAGCAGTTTCTGTCAGTGACAATGGGGAACAAAACCAACCTGCAATCCTGCATGACTTCAGAGTTTGGGGTTTTAGGAGAAAAAAAAGAATAAGAAACATGATGCACACCCAGGATTGGAAGTTTCATGAAATACAGTTTTTAGACATGAATTAAAACAAAGAATTTGGTCAAATGTAGCACCAGGTTCTTTCCCCTCTCACAGAAACAAACAGGTGAAACACACAGTGGCTCCAGGATTGCTTTGGTACGCTAAAAAGGGCTCCTGAAGTTCCTTCAAGTATTTAAAAAAAAAATGCCATGAAATGACCCACAACGTACAGTGTGTAAGAAGAATTGTTCAGTTTTAACGTCCTGTGAGGACACTTATTGAGAATAAATTGTGTTGTTTGGTTCTTTATTAACTTGAATTCACTCTAATAAGTCCCTGTTCATGTTGGAAACCCTGGGTTGCATTCAAGCCATAGAAACGTTTTGTCACTGACTTCTGATCGAAGATATGAATCAGGTTGTTTGCAAACACGGGCTTCAAAGCTAATAAGTTAGTGTGCGACAACTCACTCTTAGTATACGACGGATAACATTGTCTTAAGGTGGAATCTACTGTGAAAAATTCTTGAGAAGAGTTGTGTTGAGTACCTGAGTGTGTTACTGGTCTGCTTTAGATGGTGGATGGTTCAGTGTTAGGAGCCCAGAGGGCACAGTATTTAACAAACACTGTCGGCTCTGGAAACAGTCGATGTTGTTAAGGAGACCGAAGAACACACACAGTTTGACCTGTATGAGTAATTTTACATCCTCGACTGTTGAATTCCTCCCCTCAGAAACAAACTGTAACCTGAGACGGAGAGGTTGTGGTATATAAGGAGAACATGGAGCTGAAGATTAATAAAATTCACTGATGTTGGCATTTTTTCCTTTCATTTCTGTGTCTTTGTTTAAATACCAATGACTGATACTGAACAGTTCAAACCTCTGCAACCAAACCTCTTTGAAACCAAAGCATTTCCTCAAATTGTACAAATTTAGCAACGACAGTGGGGAGTGCTGTCAGATGCCTTGCAAAGTATCACAGCATGATACCTGTGAAAACCAAAATTTGTCAATGAAGGAAAATGAAGAGGAGTTATCCATCTGGGGGCGGAAAAAGAAAGAGGAAAATTCTTTGAGAGGGGCCCCCAGTGAACCTTTGCCTAGGGCCCCAACAGACCCTAGAATCGCCCCCCCTAAACCTGTTACAGACTATTATGTAAAAAACAATATATTTATATTAATATATTAGAAAATGTTGTGTAATAACGTATAGTCTCCATAAAACAGAACTTTGTGAGTATCTAACTGCTGTGTCTCGTTATGTCCAACTAACACGAGATGGAACCAATCACAAGATAGAAGGCGGGACATAACAGTGAGAGTGATAACCCAGCCCCGTTAGCTTCAACAAAGCTTTTTGATTGGTCCAAATATTTGTAAATGCCCCGCAGGGCAGTATGAGTTATCAGACATTTGAAATGTTTGACAGGCAGAGAAAATACAGTAATTTGAATGTACAAACACTCAGATAATTATTTAAAAACATTTGGAAGATAAATGAACATCTATCACAGGAACGCTGGATTAAAACCAGAAAATGTATTTTTTAGTTCCCTTTAGGTACCTATTTAGAAAATTCATTGCTATATTACTATATGGGATAAGATGCAGGAAGGATTGGGAAAAACGGGGGGAGGGGGCCTCTTTCAGGCAGGCCATCCGCCAACGATACCGAGGAATCTACGAGACAGTTGTAGCCTAAGGTAAGAATGATAGTTTTGAGCTCTAAGCCTACGGTAAGGTCGACAGTTGTGAAGTAGAATGCGAGTCAAACCAGCACCCCACAATGAATCTGTCTTGCACCAAGAGAATCAAACATAAAAAGAAGAATTACAAAGACGGCAACAACCGTAGAAGACAACACATTCAAAGGTGAAAGTAAAATCATTAAAGCACCCCATGATTACATGTAAGGGATATCAGTTTTACAAGTTTAGTAAAGTGCAGAGTGCAAAGGAAGAGAGGCCTCTATTGGTCACCATCACTGGCATGTGTCTGCGCCCTAAAGTCAAGAGTACATGCACAGACCAGAGGGGGCGCTGTTGGTCTGCTATAATCTTAGCTACATTTGTTTTAGGAGGTTTATTTACCTTAAAGGTTCTATATGTAAATTTTTAAATGTATAAATCGTTTTTTATCGCCCATTAATAAGCGAACGGTTAGCTGATGTGAAAAAGTAGATGTTCACTTTCTATCTGTGTTGCCTGTATACATTTTTTACCCGGGTCGTATTTTCTGTGAAAGCTCCAGGAAGTGACATTTTATGCACGTTCTCAACGTCCTCCTCACTCCGCTCCGCTTACAGAGATCAACAGTACAAACTCATCACACACTCCCGATCTTCACCTGCACAGCCAGAGGCCGTCTTCCACACACTTCTATCCACTCTAAGAGAAAGGTGGACAAACTCATCACACACTCCCGGTCTCAGCCAGTGCCTGCAGAGACTGTCGTTTGTAGGATGGAGAATGAATACAGACACACAGACTCCTTCACAGACTTTCACATGTGTATGACCACTTACCTCCTCTGTAAACATTATGCTGGTAAATATCCAGTGTTTCACGGCCGATGATGATGCTCCTTTGTGTACGTAGGAGCACGTATGACGAACACACGAGGGAGAACAAGAAACAAGTTACTGGTGCAGTTCGCCTAACGGCCATGCAGGATCCCTACTAACGCAGTATTTTTGAAAGTTACAAATAGCCCCTTTAAAGTATACTACAGTTTACTGCTTATGATCAAATTAGGGAGAAAGTTGTGCCACCAGCCTGGTCTACGTCGCTATGTATCCCAGTAAATTCTGTAAAGCGATCGCATGCCATGCTTAACAAAGGGGGCACATTTTCAGGTCACATGCTGTGGGTGATGGGAGCGGCTGATACTTGCAGTCACGGAGGCGCATGTCTCAGCATTGTATACTGGTATTTTGTCGCACAGGTGTATAAAATCCAGCCCAGTCTTTAGATCAAATAAAAGGTATTTAAATTGCATCTTATACACCAAATTTGATCGTACTTATATTTCTGCGATATCAGCCCAATAATAAAATCGTCTGAGAAGGTTTTAATGAACGTGTGAAGTTTATATATGTCGAGCTATGGTTCTTCATGTTCTTGTTAAAATGAATATTTCCATTTTCTCATGCAGTCACAAAAAGACCAAAAATGATTTGTTTAAATGGGGCATGTTTTTATTGAACAGTATGAACAGCTTCAATCACTTTCACTTTTATTAACTAAAAAGTTAGGTGACGCCACGTCTGCCTGGCAAGCCCGGCTCAGTGGAGGCTGTTCCTGGGATGTTACCAACCAACACTGGAGAATGTGGAAAAAAAAAAAAAAAAAAGGTCATGGGATGGAGAAAGGAAAAAAAAGTTGGAAGGAAGAAAAAGAGGTGAGCAGAGTGAAGAGTCTCTGTGGGGGAGCAGCTGTTTCCTCTGCACGCCATGTCAGCTGGCTCGATTGCACATGAATGGTCACGAGAAAAACATCACATTGTCCTCTTTTACTTCTGGGCGGGGATCATGCTGTCGATGGCCTCTCCCTTCTCCAGCTTCTTCTCCATCTCCACCATGAGCTTGACACCATCAACCACCAGCTGGACCTGGGCCACCTCGGAGGAGCCCAGACGGTCAGCGTTGGAGATGTCGAACACGCCACCGACGGAGGCGGTGTCCACACCACCTTGAGGGGGACAAGAGTAAGAGTTAGTCATACATCATCGCACATACGTCATCTAAATGAACCCGTCCGGTTATAGACTGAATACATTATGTACCTGTGCCGCGCTTCTGCAGACGCAGCCTGGTGAGGATCTCCTCGAACTTGGCGTGTGTGCTCAGTTTGGGCAGCTTGACGTGGACGCCGCCGCGCAGGCCGGTACCGAGGTTGGAGGGGCAGGTCAGGATGTAGCCGAGATGCTCGTTCCACATGAAGCCGTGGTTGTGCTTCTTGAAGATCTCCTCAATCTAAGCAGATAAAAAAAAAACAACAGGAGAGTCAGAGAAACTTCCATCACTCAGTCAAACCTCAGCTTGGTTTTTGACTCGTGTACCTTGTTGAGTCCGACGCAGAAACGCCTGAAGACCTCCCTCATGTTGCCGCCCTGCTGCATGGAGATGACACGCAGGTGATCCTCCTCGTTCACCCAGACCAGGAAGCTCTTGTTGTCGTTGTGCCTGGATGTAGAAGGGTATGCCAAGTATGAACCTACTGAGATTTGTTTTAAAGTCTCCTTTACAACTCTCCTGCTGACAGTTGTTGATCACACTCACCAGATGCCTCTAGCGTCGGGCCAGTCACGAGCCATACCAGCGCAGGTCAGCAGGGGAGAGACGGGCTTGTCAAACAGGAAGTGATCATTAATCAGCTGATCCTGCTCGGCATCAGTCATGGACTTCAGGGGGTAGTACTTTCCTTTGAACTCGCCATCCAGGCTGGTCAGAGCTGGAGACAACACATTAGGACACAATCAGGAAACTGAATGTTTTCCCTGTGGTAGCACCTTAACAACCTACTGCTCGACTTTTTGCTTTTCCAAACGTTTCATAACTCACCCTCGACGGACAGTTTCTCAATGCCTCTGCGCTCTCCGCGGCTGTTGTGGGGAGGCAGGGTGAATCCCTTGATGCTGCGTCCAGTACGGACACGGCTGGACAGGACGTAGTTGGGGTCCAGGTCATCACCTCCCTGGTGGAATAACGTTTGATGACAAAGTGAAACAGACGGCAACAAACAAAGAGTGCTGATCATCACATGCTGATGCTTTTAGTGTTAGTGCTGCAAACTCCTGGAACATTTTACAACAGGACCTGAATTTGAGCACTTTTATCCCATATGGACACTAACCACCCAATACCTGACTGTAACTGTTTCATTTGATTTTAACTACTGACTTATCACTGTAGTAATTTCAAGCTTTTAAATTACTTTAGTGTATATATTTTATTGTTCTTATTACTCTTTTATTGATTTTATTTTCTGTAGTAGCTTTATCTCATTTCTCGTTGTTCATCATTTATGTATGTTTTCTCGGCATCATTGTAAATGGGGGTCGCCCTCAATGATCTCTCCGAGAACTTAAATAAAGGTTGATGATGATGATGACATCAGAGGTGGCTTAAACAATAAAGTAATCCAGTTTAGACTTTGGTTAAACATAATGGAGTCTCCTACAGTAAACCTGCATGTGTCTTTACTTTAATAGCGGTACTGCACCTTCAGGTTCTCGAAGTTCAGGTCAGTCTTGTGCTTGTCAGTGGGCTTGTATCCACTATGACGGTCGGAGATGATGGGGTCCAGCAGATCCTTGAAGATCTCGTAAGACTCCTCATCACCAGCGACGCAGCCAACAGTCATAATGAAGGGGTGACCTATAGGAGAAGGGCATGAATATTTAGATGTTGCGATGCACGCTCACATGTATGTCAGCCATGTGTTTAAAAATATTTATTTTGATTCATACAAATGTTGTCTAAATGTTGGAGGTCTTACCGGGGTTGTCCACACCAGTCTGGATGACGTCATCCAGGGTGTAGCCACTGGGTGTCTGCTTGTCCCTCAACTTGCCATAGATTTCCTTGGTCAGCACCTTGGCCATGTGGTTGTTGTGCTTGGACAGGTCGGGGAACTCATCCTCAACTTTGTAGTTGAGCTTGAAGTTGTTGTGGGTGTTACCGAAAGGCATGATTGCTTTCTGACACTGCGATGGAAGGGACACACAGGACAGTCACATTTAACAAAGGGTTCTATCTGAACAGTTCATGCTCATTTAAACCCTATGAGAATCTTTCACTTTTGAAGATATGGGATATTCT